AAAAACGACACAACGGTGACCCCGGTTGCAATGGGATTGGGAGGGACCTCCCCCCGACCTGGGAAGAGTGAAAAATCCCAGGGTCTAGCCAGTCGGGCCGTCTAGCCTATGCTACACGAATCTTCGAATCAAATGTCACATCAATGTGCCTCTAATGAACTCCATCCTCTAGAACTTGAGAGCTTGTAGCACGGCTCATTCCATACACCCTACCGTCTCACACGCCCCTCTCTTCACGACCGTCCAGCGCCCACTCGTTCACCGAGAGGCTGTCTAATGCATGGGCAGCCAAAAGCTGGCCAAGCCTTGGGTCGATGGAAAGCCGACAACGGGCACGACACGAGAGCTTTAGCTCTTTGTGGAGCTTCAGATGAGTCATCGAACAAGTCCGGGGACCGTTTTTGTTTGTAGGAACCATCGCCAGCACCACTGAACCAACCCTCGCCAAACCTATTGTCCACTCGACTTGCTGGGGACATATGGAATAAACACCAGTTGGAATGCGGAAAAAAGATGGCTGTCTTCGGACTGAGGTGAAGACCTATACACCACGGTGTCTGTACGAAAAAGCCGTTCATTAAGATACATGGACAATGCCCTTCTTTTTGGTTTTGGTATGGTGCCAGAATTTGTACCAAGAAAATGGATGCACATGGACCATCTCAAAACATCTCAAGACCATGAACTTCCCTCTGCAGTCTGGCCAAAAGTTCTTATCTCATCCACTTGGTTCAACTTGGTGGCCCCAAAAACGATTGCCAGGTTCAAGCCTGATCGGCATTCTACTTGAAAGAGCTTCTTCATGCTTATGTTGTTTCTTTCCTGTCTATCACTGGCAGGTGATTCCATGGTCTCATCTCTTTGTGCCCCGGCAGGGCGATCACTTTCATCGCTGAAACAGCGCTGAAACAGCGCAGGGGCAGCGCGCCCGTCACCTGTCTGAGTGACGTGACGTGCATTCGGTGTTTTTTTTGGATTCCCAGCCCAGCTCCAGAAGAAACTCCAAGGCGAAGAAGAGATAAACCGGAAACTGGGAGAACCATGGAGAAGGAAAAGGATTTCCATGTATTCCCTATCCATCGTGACAGGCAACTTGTTTCATGTGATACCTATCTCACAAGTCCATCGTGTTGCATTTGTTTTCATGTCGTTGGCAAAAACCCGTAACAAGCCACCCCAAAAGTGGCACCTGGATGAACGCAAAGTGATGGTCTATAGTAGCAGAGACCCTGGGAGCAAACCCTTCTTTAGCGCCCTGAAGCCAACCCCACCAATGGAAACCCGCCTGCGCATCGACCAGCAGCACGCCGGTCTCTAAACCTCCGGAGCAGCACGCGAAGGCGAAGAAGTGCGTCGCGAAGGCGTCTCTTGAACGCTCAGGCTCGGGCTCGGTGGGCACAGTTTTCTTGCCACCGCCGGATTGGATCAAGGTCAAACGGCTGAGCATGTTGTTCATTGCTCGCGCCTATGGCTGTCGCCTGTAGCAGCCGTGCTATGAATGACGAAGTAAAATTCAAAACATGATCAAATAGTTGATTTCTCACCTCCTCAGTTCTTGTATAACTCATAACTCCCTTCCTGATTGATTCCAATCTCGGTGACGAAGCTTCTCAGTCTTCCTTGTCCAAAGATCTGAAGGTGTTCATGTGGATCCAAGAGCTTTCGTCACTTTTTGGATAGATCATAAAGAAACACTGTGAGTACTGACTAGTCACTAGTCTCAATACCAGATGAATCACCCAGCCAGAGGTCTATATCACAAGGATTCACAAGGGCTCTGGCACTGAACCATCTGAACAAAACACCCCCAGAACCTCTCCCAGAACTCTGTTTCTCACGCCTCAAGCCAGTCAGTTTCTGCCATCTGCGAAAACTGGGAATGGGAAATCCTGCAGAACTATCCCTTGACTCCACCCGTCCGAGGCGCTTCGTTCACCGGGGATGGAAGCAGCGGCACGTCCGGAAAGCCTCCTGAGGCTCGCTGCCTGGGGGAATGCGGAGGCGGCGCGTCCGGAGACCCAAGGTATATCCTATTCCCTGGGCCCAGTGGATGATGATGATGATGATGATGATGATGATGATGGTTTTGTTGCAGGCCGAAATCTCGAACATTGTGATGCTCTTGTTGACTGACTGTTACAGGTCAGATCGGACACCCCCAATGTAGATAGTGCACTTCCACAAGAGAATTTCTTTGGCACTTTTGGTCCGCAAGAGGCTCCCCAACTTGGATTTGCTTGATAAGGAACTGGGACAAAACATCTTCCCCAGGTTAGGGGCTTCTTCTCCAGGAAAACCATCAATCCTAAGCAAAACCAAGACAAGATCCATGAAAGATGGACCAAAACCACCACACCGACCACCGGGAATGGCACCCCTAGAAGACCACCACGGCCCGAGCGACATCTCACCGGCATGCTGTGCCGCCTGTGCTCGGACCAAAGGGGCGAAGGTTTTCTTCAGAAGAAACCCCCAACTTGAGCCGAGCTGTCGGATGGGAGGACGGAAGAGTGACGGTTGAAAGGGTTTGACCGTGATACTTGGTGACGTGGCGGCTTAGCAAGTCCCTTCGGCAAAAGCACTATAGGAGATACTAAGAGTGCGCCTGAGGAGAGTCAAGAAATGTCAAGAAGAGCATCTCTCATGTTGTTCCACAGATACAAAAGAGCAGCTTGCTGCTCCAGAGTGTAAATCATCAAGATGTTCCATTCTGCCGCCATTTGTGGGTCAACGACAACCGCACCACGAAGAATCATTCAGAAATCCATAATGATTTAAAATTCGGGCAATTCTTCTACGCGTTCCATTTCAAGCAAGCATTGGACACGCTTTGCCAGTTGTTTTGATTGAAGCAGGTCGGTTTGTCTCACCCGTTCAATGCTCACAAACGCCTTGATCCTCGCTCAGCCTCGTCAAGCCCACTTCAGTGGAACAGGTGTTTAAACTGAAGATTGAAATATAAAGTGAAGAAGACTCAATCTTCCAATCAAGCAACCCATCGTCTCAGTCTTCAAAGTGCTAGCCAAGAATGGTCTTCAACTCATTTCCACCACCCCCACTCCATGCCTCACTCTTTTCCAGCCATTTCTTCAGCCATTTGCTGCGGGAATTGGCTCATGTTTCTGAGCCGTTCGTTTCCGCATCGGGGCCGCCCGGGCTGGAACGGCAATTAACGCATGCAATGTACAAGCATCGTCCGCCGAGCTCACGTCAGTCTACTATGGTGAGGTACATCCAGTCAGTCTGCTGCTCACTGTAGACACAGACCCCCACATAGATAGAACAAAAAATCCACAAAAAATGTATTGGAAACCGTGTCCATCTATTGGAGGACCACTACAAGGTGAGAAGGGTCTCTCAACAACTGAATGGTCAAGAGATTGAAGTTCCTCATCAAAGATATGATGGATGTGTGGAGGGTCCCTTCACGTCCCTTCAAAGCATGAATGTCAGTATACATTGGGTATATCCCATTGACAGTGATGACGTAGATGATGATGGTTACTAAAAGCCTGGCTCAAGAATTAGTGATCATCTCTTGCCGACTGTTGCTGGTGTTTTGGGCCACACCATACACATACCTTAAAACGGCAATGCGACGGTGGATGACAACAGCAGCGGACCATCCATCTTCGTGAACATGACCCATGGCGCATTCCTGCTCTTGCTGCGCACGTTCACTCGCACGTCAGGGAAGCTGGATTCCGAGCAGAGAGCTTGGCAGAAAAGGGCAAACAAAGGTTAAGTAAGCATATAGGACCCTACCAGGGTACCTATGGGATAGTCAATAAGGTTCTTCAACCTCTGTTGGGGTGTTGAAGGTGCTTCAGCTCTTGGAGATGTGTCCGCTTCGTGCGCCCTACAGCTATCCTCCCTTGGGCCACTCAACAAGGAAAGAGACGATCTGACTGAAATGGGCAAGAAGTCATCTGCCAAGCTCCTGTCACAGCTCTACACAGGTGGCCTTTGTGGCACCCAATAATGTGGCGGTTTTCCTCACTCATCGCACCGGTGGCGGAGGCCGGCAGATCTCTGCAATCTCTGCGGGAACCGAAGATTCGAGCAGTCGAGAGAGGGCTCTTCCAAACAAGGCACCGCTCCAAAGGCCTTACACTCCGAAAAGTGGGGCAAACTGTTGTTGGTGCCAGAACAAACCTATTTTTTTTGCAATCTTCCTCACGGAGGGTTTCCATCCTATGTTCCAAAAGGTCAAAAGGCCATAAACGGGGGCCATGTTCCACTTCGAAGTGTCCAAACTTGGCCGAACACAACCAAAACTTGTTGATGGAGGGTGACTGAAAAGGATCAAGATAACCACTTGTGATCTTTTGGGATGAGATAACCACGCATGGTGTCTTGATGATCAAGATAACCACTTGTGATGTCCGCTGTCACCCAAACGAGATCGCTCATCCCTCAAATCTGTGAGGCTGCGAGGCAAAAGGCTTCTCTGGTCTTTCCAATTGATTGCCCCCAAAGCTGTTTCAGGCCACTTCGGGATGTTCTCCATGTACTTCTCCTACTCCCACTCAACACGGGGTTGCAGGACCACAAAGCCTTTGCACATACATCAGGACGGTATGCGTCTCTGTGTCCTTGAAATTCTGAAAGGGAACTGATTTGCCAACGTCTGCAAAACACACAAAGAAACATTGACAGAACCAAGGTAATCAAACATTCTCGCTGCTTGCTGTTTCTTCCTTTCAAGACCAAGCTAGATATGTTGTGTCCTTGTCGCGCCTCTCCTGACTGCTCAACTCAGGCACAGAATTCGAAGAAGCACCCGGAAGGCCAGGAGAACTCTGATCGAAAAAATGCGCCAATGACTTGAAGTCCAAATGAAGTCCAAACGCCCTCAGGCCGAAGCCCATCCCAACAATCGGGGATTTCTCTGGTTCTTTTTTCTTTGCTCATTTCGGTCAATTCGCTACCCAAGTTCAGCATGTTTTGGGAGGGAGTCCGCATCTTCCAACACTGGAAGTCTGACAAAGTAGTAAGTAGCCTAAGCACCCACCCTTCCTAAGATATGCTTCCTCCTGGTGTCGGGGCATGGCTCAGGGCTCAGGGCTTCAGGATAAAGCCTCCACCACGGTCTCCGCATCTGAATTGGGCCTGATGGATGTGGGATCGCAGCTGTGGAAGGACGAGACTTTCAAGCTTGAGTCATCCTGGAGTAGATGGAATGAAACCATTCAGTGAAACATAGTGGAACCAGACTGTTTCACTGAATGGTTTGCTTTCTTGAATGAATCCAAGGACTTGGTTTTCACAGTCATCCAAGGACTTGTGAAACTAGGGTCCTTGGCTAGACAAAAAGAACTGTGGGTCCTTGAGTCCTTGATTTCTTGAGACACCCGGAGGGTGGTCTCTTTCTGGTCATTCAAGAATAGAATAGAACAAATACAATAAACCTCATCATTCGTATCAAGAAAGTGAGAGGCGGCACCTGAATCATTGAATGAACTGAATGAACGCAAAGTGCCTGCCTTACTCCAGAAGCTTCGAGCTGTTCTGGTCACAAAGAATCACTGTGGGAATTCGCCTGGTTTGACTCCGCCCCAAAAAAAGAATCCAATTGCCAATACTGGTTCCGAGAACTGGGGTTCCTAAAACCTTCATGTCCAGCCGCATTTTCCACCACGAACTGTCCATCCACCCCGCCTCAGTGGCTCCTTGGGAGCCAGCGCCGAGCCAGCTGGCTCCTGCGGCGCCAGAAGTCTCAACAATCCAAACATGTGCAAAGTCATGTAAAATAATCTTTGGAGCATCAAGAGATAATGATGTTTGGAGATATTGGATATATACTGTCTATGTCATGCCTATTTCATGTTTGGAGCATCATGAGATATACATGGTTCAGATATACTGATGTAATCTCATGTAATATTGCAAAGTCAAGATATACTCATGTCATATCATGAGATCGTCTGCGGCACGGGTGAGTAGCTGGCGCCAAGAGGCGCGGCATGGGTGCCTCGGGTTGAAAAAACCTCATGTCATGATCGATGTGTTTTGGACGTCCAAAACCTTCAAACTCTGAGGTTTCTGAGGACCCAACATGCAGTCGACCTCATCGGTGTGAAACATCCTTTTTCATTCGACCCGTCGAGCCCCAATAAGAACTGTCAGCTTTCGCGAAACCGAACCGGCAGCGGCAACCAAAAGAACACCTGGAGCATCCGAACCGGTCCGTCCTAAGATTGCTGGCTGTGCACGAACGGAAGACCACTAGGGAGCCACCCCTAAACGTACTCACTCAGCTAACGTGGAGGCTCCCGGGACTCACCGATGCGGGTGGAGCTGACAATTCCTCCCGTCCTGCTGGAGCTCCGCGTGCTCCGCGTGCTCCGCGTGCTCCGCGTGCTCCGCGCCGGGCTGCAGGAAACTGCAAGACCTCACCATTGAAGTGGTCATGAATGAAACAAACAAAACTAGAGTAAATCCAACTGCGTAAGAAAGAACATCTAATAGACACGACACATAACATATGTTTGCCACAAGCGGATGGAAGCTTGTTTCCAAGAGTGCAAAGCTGATGTCAAAGAAGTGGTTGCTAATTACAAGCAGTAAGAATATGACCACGTACCAGGACCATCCTGTCTGAGTCACCAATGGGTTACCCTGCACTACTATCCGGGATCTCCAGCCAAGACACCCAGACAGGATGGTCCAGGTATTAATTAATCTCTATGAAAACGAGGTTTCGACGTTACGGAACGCCTTTTTCCCTTGAGCCAAAACACGTCAAGAGTCACGTGTCTGCAGTACCTATAGCGGAGTATATATGGGCTGTACATACGAACACTCCTCCTCTTGCAAAGCACTGTACTGCTGCGCAAGCATAAAAGGAAACATGTGAAACTCTTCGCTGCTTAGCCACTTTCAGTTGTGGTAGTGGAGCTTGGCCAGGGACCTTACTCCAAAACATCTAACTGTCCTTTGCTTCGCTTGCTGAGGAATGCATATTGCAGGTCCTCCATGGTTTTGCGAAGCTGCACTCCAGGAACCGATTTGGTCAAAACATCGGCTTTGTTCTTGACTCCTGGAACGTGGTGCACTTTCAAGTGGCCTTCGGCAACCCTCTCTTGCAACCATAGGTAGCGAGTCTGGATGTGTCTGGCTTTACCCAAACCCACTCTATTCACAGTTCCTTTGGCTGCATTGGAATCGCCTTCGATGGTGACTCCTAATTCCAAACCAAGGTCTGCGCATAGGCTTTGGAGGCCTAAGCCCACAGATCCTCCCTTCACAAGTGCGTAGTATTCACTCTCACCTGTTGAAAGGGCTACAGTGGATTGGATGTTACTACTGTGTTTTAACACGTGCATGCCGTACATAGCAACCATGCCAGTCGTGCTTTTGCGCGTCACAGCGTCACCACCATGGTCGGCATCGACCTGCACCCTCAGCCTTGAGGGTATCTGCTGCGAACCAAAACATTGCCCAACATCAGGGTATTTCTTCAAGTACCTGATGAGACGCTTCAAGTCAGCAAGTTTGGCTTCTGTTGGTGATACCATACCTCGAGCAAGGTTCTTGACTGCGTGCCCAATATCAAGTCGATCTTGGGACAAGTACGCAGCACGCATCGTTGCTGAACGATACTTCGATGCCTCGCTCTTATCAAGCAGCGGACTGCGGCTTTCCAGCATCTGCTGATCTGCCGACTTCTTGACATCTGGTGATTCCACACCATTTGCCTTTTCCAGACCAAATGCCTGGATCAAAAGATCAACATGTCTCCGATCGGCTTCGATCACAATTGATCCTTTGCCGTTCTTCTTCTCAACTCGGATTAACCGATTCAGAAAATGAGCTTCTGTTCGGTCTCCATCCTCGTCTCCAAGAATTCCGAGACATTTCAGCTCATAGGCATCTTTGAGGACTTGGCTGAGCTTCTCCAAGTGTTGGGCGTCCCCAAGCGCTAGGAAGTCATCTCCATGCACCATCACTCTGACGTCCCAAGCTTCTTGGTAGAAGACTGACGCATTTGACAAGCCTCTGCGGAAACCAGCTTTCTGCAGAGTCTCTGTGTAGTGCGTCTGCCAGATATTTGGAGCATCCTGTGTTCCATACATTGACTTCACGAGAAGTCCACAGGTTTGTCCATCTTTGCTGGCTTCGTCCTCAGGCGGCAGCTCTATGTAGATCTTTCTCTTTGGAGTTCCATAAAAGTGTGCTCGTGAGATGTCCCACAAGCCCAGCTTCAGCGGCTGGTTGTGGCAGGACTTTCTCTTTGTTGCCCACAACGAGCACAGCAGTCTCATCGCCTCCAATGGTGGCGTGCTGCTGAAAAGCAAGTTGGCTGGCAATTGTTCTTCTTTGGTCTTTCTTGCCTTTATCTCACGCACAACTAATCGGCTCCTATAGTTCGGGTTTGTTGGATCTCCCTTGTTGGTGTCCAACCATCTGACTGGAATCGGGGGCTTCCCCGTTTCCTCAAAACATTCGGCTCTCGGCCGGGTCACATAAACACCATGCTTTTCTTTCAAATAATTCATTTCAAGGCGTCTTGCCTCTTTCACTTTCTCAGCTGGCAAAATGCCGCCGTTCACATCATCCATATAAACTTCTTCGAACTCAGGGTCCATCAGAGGCATCTCTGGAACTGGGCCTGCTGCAAACAAATCAAAGGTGTTCAACTCACCTTTCTCAGCTAGTGTGTCACGCAGGCTCCTTAGCACTGCTTTCACAAGCGGCGGTGGGTATACCGCTGCTTGCCTTGCAATGCCTCCGATCAGATGGATGTGTCGGTGCCATGGTCCTTTGCCCGATTCATTCGAGCAGACTCCTTGCAAGACTCTGGCCAACCCTTCATCGTTGGTCATCCAACCGGTCTCCTTTCTCACATAGCCGGTGCCTTGGAGTCCTCTTCGGTCGGTGGCCATCATTTGCCACCTGCACATTGGACCCTTCACTATGAACACTCCATCTTCCTCTGCTAAGGCCGCGACTTTCTCATCCTTCCAACTGGTCGCGGACCAAGGTGCCTCGTGGAGGAATTTTCTCCCTGAGCGATGCTGCTTGAGATACAGCTCTACGCTCGTATGGAGGTGGTGGACCGCTTCGTCCATTTTCCTCCTCCGGACATCCGGTGCCATGCCTCTCCAGTTGAGGTTCTGGAGCTGCGAGAACATATGGCACGGTGGCGAACCAGTCAAAAGCGCCGGTTCGTCCTTCTCAAGGATGTCATGCACTTCTTGAACATCTTCAGGCTTGTTCAAGTCCCAGTATGTTCCATCACTTTTCATTTCATTCAAGTCGACCGCAAAACCCGGTCGCAACTTGTAGCGCTCTGCAAGCGCAGTGAACCTCTTGGGCGAGTAGATCTCCATGATATCTACTGCTGACATCTGCATGCTCAAATGAGCGATGTCTCCGATCTCTTGCTCAGAGATCTCAATGCCGCTCGTCTCATAGGTTCCTTGAATGATCTTCTTCAGATGCTGCTTTGCGATCTCCTTCTCTTTTACTAAGCTGGCTGCATCTGGCCTCCACCCTGCTGGTGGTGTTTCTGGAACATGTGAAAACTGAGACGTTTTCTTTGGACTCTCTTCCACTCTGGGATCAAGGTCTTCTACGGCGGTCTCTGCGGACCTCTTTGTTCCTTGAACTGGATTCGGCTTGACCTTTGCCCCAGGTGGATCTATCCGAAGTTCTCCTGTTCTCTTCTTGGGCTCTGTTGCTACCTTGGCTTTCGCCACTGGCTTCTTCTCTATCTCGGCTGCTTGCCTCTTCATCTCATACCTCTCTTTCGGGTCATCGGGATAGGTTTTCTCACCCTCTGCTGCTGCTGGCGGTGAGCTTCCCGACCCTGCGCTCGTTGCTTCTTCCTTCTTTTCTGGTTCCCCAGCCGCGTCTTCGGCTGGGATGTCGGAGTCTTTGTCGGCCACGACTTTCGGCTTCACAGTGTCAAGCTGTTGCCGTTCTTTCCTCTTCTTTGCATGGGCTTCAAGTCTCGCTTGCCCAGCTTCATCTTTTTCCATTGCTTCGGTGATCCTTGCTCTGCATGCCTCTGTGTGCGGCAAGGTCGTCCTCTTATCTTCCAAGATGCATCTGCATCCTGGGCAGCCTTCTGTGGCTCCATGCTTGTGCACATCCTCTCTCCTGATGTACACTCGCCTCTGTTGTGGTGGTGCCACTCGTTCCTCCTTGGGAGGTGGTACCACAAGGCGCTCTTCGAGCATCAACTGCTCACCGGCAGGCCTTGCCGCGGAATGTTCCCACGGTAAGCCCCGCAAAAGGTCCCAATCACTTGGGTCCCAGCGGTCGGCTGAACTCAGCCGCCGGATTCCTGTGCCTCTTCGCACGCCATCGGCCGTCATCACCAAAATGGATCCTGTTCGGCCATGGTGTCCTACATAGCGTCCTTCTTTCAGGATGCGAACTCCCTCGCCTACTTCCCTAAAGTATAGGCGTTCGCCAAAGGCTATGGCAGGTTTTCGCCATTGCTTTCCACATCTTCTGGCCTCAGGCGTTCTGCCATCTTGACCTTTCTTGTACCTGCTCAACAGGTCTCCCGCCTGCCTTGGCAGCCATGCCAATGCAGGATCATCATCCTTGAGCTCTTTGCCGAGCTTCTCTTCCAACGCGCTGCGGAGGACTCGTACTTGACGTTTGACCTCCTTGCAGGCGTTCTCTGCCAGACCATTCGCTTGATGGTCTCCTACTGGCGACTCTTCCGAAACCCAGTCTATGCCGGTTTCTTTCGCCGCTGCCTCTTTCAAGGCTACCACGGATGGCTCACCATCCGACTTGAGAACCACCTTGCGGTGTCCCAAGTTCTTCAGGAAGTTCGCCACGAACTTCACTGCATACGGCGTCGCTCCCTTCGAGTCCACGAAGGTCGCCGCTAAGGACTGTGTCCTCTCATCCTTCACTACGAGGATCGGCTTCACTCGCTCGTCCTCCACGCCGCCCCGTGACATGAACGTATAGTCCATTGCCACTGTGGGCACAAGGCTCTTGGCCTTCTCTTCCTCGGACCTCGTTCGATGTGGCTGTCCCACAGCCCGTCCAGCAATACAATGCCGGCACCAACTTCGATATTGCACATGGCCTGTCGCCTCGTGCTCTTCGATCTCAGCCGGGGTTGGATCCTCCGGCGCTCTTATCTGGATGGGTTTCTCAACCTCATCAACTAATTCCAACTCATCATCCTCTTCTCGCCCCTCTGGACCAGGTCGGCCTGAATCCATAGAGGCATCTCCTCTCTCTCCTGTGGCGTTCAACTCTGCGATGCCACAGCATTCCTTTGTCGGTTTATACCCTGGCTTTCTCAAGTAGAAGTTGTAAACTCCCTGCTCCTGATATACAGGGATCCAACTCCGCTGCTCTGCAGCGTTCGCTTTCTCCAGGATCGCCTGGACAGCCTTTCCAACTTTGGACCCTTGCGGAATCAAGTTTCCGCCTTTTGCATCGAGAACTGCAATCCTTCCAAAGCCTAAGCACTTGGATGCTGAAATCAATGGCTTGTGAACATCAGCCATTGAACCTTTCACACGGCATTTGTTGCCGCTCTCGTCGAACCCTTCAAAGGTTCCAATGCCCTGACTGGGCACCAACTCTCCTGATGCAGTCTTGAATACAACTCCGTTGCCTTCACTGACAACCACTCGGTCCTCCCAGCCATTCGGGATGGCTGTCTGGGCTGCTCCAGTGTCCAGGTTAAACTTCATCCATTCTTTGGCGGATGAGGTGTCCGTCATTCCAATTCCGCTCAAGTCTGCCATGAGCATTCCGACATCAGCCTCCGGAGCTGGCTCAACGCCATCATCCGGTTCGTCCATCTCTTCCATACTTCCTGCGGCTTTGCCTTTGCCGCCTTTTCCACCTTTGCCTTTGTTGCCTTTGCCACCTTTACCACTCTTATCTCCTTTGCCTGAACCTGACCACTTATCGCCTTTTCCATCCGGCCGTTTCTTGCTCCAGCAATCGGCCGCTCGGTGTCCCTTCTTACCGCAATTGTAGCAGGTAATATCTTGAGCCGGGTTTGAGCCTTTACTTGAACCCCCTTTGCTTGAGCCTTTCTTTCCATCACCTTTGGCCTGTTTACCTTTTCCTTTACCTTTTCCTTTAACTAGGCTTGCAATCCATTGTCCTATCGAATCGACGTCCATGGGTTGAGGTCCTTGGTAACTTGAACTTGATGAACCTGGTTTTGGAACAGATGACTTTGATGTGAGGGATGTTTCAATGACAAGTTCAATCTCTTGCTTGATCAACGAATAGGTTGTCAATCTACTCTTGTTCAACAAAAGATGTTTCTCCAGATCTGGGGGTACCAGCATCTCCAATGAAGCGGACTTGATGTCGTCCGATAGGGTTTCCCTAATCCCTGCGGCACTCCTCCGGGACTCGTACCGCCTGATGAGCTCTTCGAGCTGTTCGATCGCTGGCCTCACCGCGGCCCATGTCTTGACTCTCTCCGGTTGGAGAATCGCTCGAAGTATATTGCGTTTCCGTCCCGAGGTTCGGGGATCCCAACGGCGGTGAACTCGCCGATATGCTTCAAACCCATTTGAAGCTCCTACCGTCAAATCCTCTGTTTCACCCGAGGTCAGGGTCAGGAGCACGCGATGAATTTGGTCAGCTTTATCCTCCAAATCATCGATAGCTGCTATGGTTCCAGTCCCAAATGCGGACTCCATAGCACTCATTTCAATCGCGTCTTCCTGTTCCAAAATATACTCAAGAACTTCAATGAACTCTCTCCCAAAAGTAGTTATGAACAGGTTATCAATGCTCCTGGCCCATTTTCGAAAATCCCCTTCAACATTTCCAAAACTTTCGGGGCGTCCTAACCCTTTGGTGTCCATGAGGATTTGGGACTTCTTCCTATCATCTTTCCTCTCAAGGCTTTTAGCCAATTCTCCTACAGCTGAAGCTAGCATTGATACCCCACCTTGAGACTCCCTCAACACTTGATTCTCTTGCTCCAACCTCGCTTGATTCTGTTGGAGTTGAAGTACCATTTCACTCAATTGTTGGATCTGTTGTTCCATGGTTTCCTGCCCTCAACCCCTGCTGCTGCTGCCGCTCACTCCTTTTCCAGCGGCAGTCGCGGGCGGTTCGCCCGGTCAAGGATCGGAAGGTTTTGGCACTCCACGGACTTCAACAGTAGTCCGTGTGAGTTCTTCCGGGCGACGACCCACAGTTGTGGCCTTCGCTTCAGCCGCTACTTTTGGCGCGGCGGATGGCTTGGCCTTTCCTTTTGGTCCGGCCTTCGATTTGGCCTTCACTTTCGGCCCAGGTGTCAGGCTCACAGCTGGCGCCGCTTTGGACTTGGCGCTCGATCCAAGAACGGCAGGTCCCTTAAGTCCTCGCCGCTTGATGTAGTCCTTCACCACCGGCAGCTGTGCCTGCCGCCGTTCGTCACAAGAACTACAAGCCTCGTTGGATCCTCTTTTTCCTTGTTCGTTGGGGGTCTTCCACAATTCGCGAATGGCGGCCAATGCAACGGTGCCCTTGAGATTCCGCTGCTCGCAAAGTTCGTCGGCCGCAAACTTTCGCACTTGGAACGGGCTCTCTAATTTCCAATTTTCTATCGTCAATCGCTGGGCCCGTTCGTTGGCTAGGGCGATGATGCGGAGGTTCAACTCCAGTGCACGCCCCCAGACCGCCCGTCCCCGCTGGGTGTCGCGGGTTTGCGGTCGCTTAGCCGGCGGTGGCCCGTCCGGTGTTCGAGGCTGTCGAACCGGACTTGGATGGCTCACCGACTCTTCTTCTTCTTCGACCTCCTCCTCCTCGGCTGGATCAGCCGCTTCTGAGGTCTTCCTTTTCTTGGTCCGCTTCTCTTGATTGCGGACCTTCTGCTCTTCCCGCTCTTCTTTGATCTCTTGTGGAGTGCGCCCCTTTCCGAACTCTTTGATGCGCCTCCTCAGATCCTCTGTGATGACACCCTTCTTCTTCTCCAGCCTGACCAGGTCCTTGAGCCTCCGGTACTGAAGCGAAGTCTTGCTTCGAAGTCGAAATCCGGATTGTGGCTCTGGATGCTTCTTGACCTGTCCCCAAATGTTCTTCTTTACCCTCCAAGGTGCTTTGGGATCAACTTTGGCTGGGGTATGTTTGGCGTGAATGCCACGAACCTCCCAACCTGTTTTGACACCTTCTGGGGAGGTTTGGAAGTCGGCGATCACTCGGCCAGATGAGGATGGCTGCGCGACTGGATCAGTCGCTTCAGCCTCTGGCTCTACTATGGGGTCTTGCTCAGGCTTTTCTTCTTCTCCTCCTTCTTTCTCTTTTGTAGTCTTTTCTTCTTTTGTTTCCTCTTCTTTTGTTTCCGCGGTTCCTTCAACCGCTGATGTTGTTTCGGCAGTTTCTACAACCGCCGGAGTGGTGTTTGCGGCTGGTTCCGCCGCTGATGTGGCTGGCAAAGGCTCTTTCTCCTCCTCTGTTCCTTTCCTTTCTTCTTCTTTTCCACTCGGGGCGGCAGAAGCTGCCGCTCCCGAGGATCCCAGCTCCTCCTCCTCGGAGCTCTCGACTTTACTGTGCCTTTCTTCCTTTATGCGCAGCGCTTTGTCCCTGTCACTTTCACCGGACTCGTGCGCTACCATGAAAACGAGGTTTCGACGTTACGGAACGCCTTTTTCCCTTGAGCCAAAACACGTCAAGAGTCACGTGTCTGCAGTACCTATAGCGGAGTATATATGGGCTGTACATACGAACACTCTAGTCAATATATATATATATAATATATATTCCACCCAAAAACATACTTATCCTATATTCCGTAACCCTTGGTATATCTTGTCATCATCTTGGTATATCTACTGCAGTCTATGGTCTACCAATGTCTACCATGCCTTTTCAGTTCCGAAACGGAGCTCCGGACTGCAGCAACTCCGATGCAGAGGGCCGGGAGACGGGATCCTCGGCGGCGGCGCGTTGGAAGGTCAGGCGCCGTTGGAAGGTCAGACGGTCAGTACTCTGGACATGGTTTTTTGGTTGGTTCCGCTTGCGAAGTTGGGCTTTCCATTGGTTTTTCCTAGGTTTTCCATTGGGTTTTATTTGACCAACAAATGAACACCACGGATCCATTGACTTATTTCCTGGGTGATAGAAGATGGCGGACCGGAATTCTTGTGGTTAGCCAGTCTATAGACACAGTACACATATATGTATATAGGCACTGTCAGGTTTGAATGAGGAAAAAAAGCATTGGGCGGACCACAACCTTCTTGACTTGATTCGGTTTTCAGGTCACTCACGGCAAAAGGTGCCGTGGAGGGCCGGACACGGTCAGTTCCCCCTCCTACGTAAGACCGTAGTCCCCTCCGCATCCGTCTTCCGCATCTTCTCCCGCCGTTCCCCCGCCGTTCTCCCGCCACGCCCCTTCTTCCGTCGTCGCCGGGTCGGGGTCTCCAGTCGTAGCCAGGAGGCCAGCACCAAGGCACTCAGGAGGAATTCGCCCAGGTCCGCCTGGGCGAAAGGCCACCGAGCTGGACAGGGGGATCATGGAGCAGCTGCTGTAGAGCACTTTCGGTCCGAGGGTCACAGGGTATTCATGGAAGAGACATGGTCATCGTCCAACTATAGTCTATAGTGGTCAACATGTGTCAAACATCTTCCAAACCCAAAACCACAGGTTTTCTGGGTGTAGAATAATACACCTCCAAAACCATGGCGGACACCCACGGTAGACCACCTTCCAAGCCCAACCACGGACTGGAACCTTTTCAATGCCTGCCTATCGTACCACTCTCACAGGCTCGTCTTCCCTCCGTCCCCAGATCTGGCTATTTGCGGCAATTGGATGCAATTGGTCCAAACTGGGAGGCCCCGATGGACCAACGAGAAATGCACATGTCACATGTCACATCCGAGTGGACCGGGGGGCCTGACACCATCAGCCATGGACCCGCCTTGGCGGAGTCCTTCCATCCCATGCCCAGGATCTGCTCCAGGCCCCAGCGCTTGGGCCTCGGAAATCTGATGCACAAGGCCACGAATGGTTTGTCGCGAGGCCCCCGTGGTTTGGCACAGTGTCATGGCTGGACTGGGGGGCAGGTGAAATGAATGTGGTGGTGATCAGTGAGGAATATGAAGGTTGTTTCTTTTAAAGAGAAATACAAAGTTTGTTGTTTTGGGTGGTCCAATAATAATAAGAGGAATAAGAAGAGGCTTAAGGGAAGGAGGTCATCCCATGTCTATACCTCTAGGACACTTTCCATTGAGGACTGCCGCCAGAAGTGTGGAAAAAGGGATCTTCCCCTCAACGGAGGCTATCGGAGCTTCTTATACTCTTCAAAAATAGGATCGATAAACCGGACATCCCCATCACATCCCATCACATCTGCAAAGAGTGCTCCATTGAACTGTCTATCAAAGCTCAATCAATGTGCAGTTGTATTTTGTGATATTTAGGTACTTATTCCCAAACTTGAGCTTAAGTGGCCACTAAGTAGCCACCATAAAACAACGGAGAGGACGGATTTGACAAGACAAATCAGATCAGTTCAGATCCGGCTAAGATAGATCAGGTTTACAAAGACTCCATGGTTCTCAGTAAGGATTCTGAGGCCAAAATCTTTCTTAGTGAGTGGTGCTGAGTCTTACTTGCTCTCTTTGCTGCTTTGAGTGTTTGAATGCAACCAGGGCTCAGTAAAGACTACCAGTTCTCACCTATCATTGGTAAGGCTTGGTAGGCCTCAGTAGGCCTAGGCCTAGGCCTCACTAAGTGCAACCCTTTGTTTAGACCATTCTCCCATTCGGAGGCTCTCAAATGTTCCTTTTCCCAGCCCCAGACCCCTTCTGTGCAGTCCTGTGAGACATGGTTCGGGACATCCACGAGGTGGAACAGCCCTTCTTAGGGGTCATCCCCAAAACCTTCCGCAAAAGCTTCTATCGCTTCAATTCGGACGCTCATCAGCTGCCTTCACAACAGCTGCTTTCACGGCCGTGCAACCGCTGAGCTACCCCAACTTGATGGCCTCCAAACTGCTCCCGGTGCGACGCACCGGCCAGTGCCGCCGGCCCTGACTCCGCGTGTGCGGTCGTCGGAAAGGTCCGCTTAGGCGCTCCCACTGCGTGGGTGGCGAGTTCCAGGCTGACTCAAAGCGGTCTATGGCAAGTCACAAAAGGCTGTTGCAGACTTGGCACAGCCTTTATAAATTCAGGAATTCCCGCATCATTATTCACTTACCAAAAGTATAATTATATACAATTGACTATATCATCATAAATTCCTGCTCAGCCAAATGTTGGCAGGTCCCCTCCGCAGTGGCCGTCGCAGGTCAAACGGCTCGATGGTCGACTCGACTCTGTCCACGCACGTCTGTTCCCCACCGGCGTGTAGAGCTGCCGCACGTCCAAAGGGCTCCGACGTAACAAGGACCTTGACCGGGGTGTGCAGTCAGTGACGGAGGGTGAAGCGGGTGGAGGGGGGTGGAGGGGGGTTGAGGGAGGAGGAGGGAGGTGGAGGGAGGTGGAGGGCGGTACTGCCAAAGTCTTTTGAGTTGCAGCTTTTGGTTTGAGTACAACGATGCACGTATGTGTATGGTTTCGAGCATTTATGTGCTTGTTCTGGGTTTGATTTACATGCCGTTCAGTATTTGCACAGGACGTCAGGATCCACTCGTTGATCGAATTGTGTTTTTTTTCGGTATATGTCAGCGGAATATGATAGGAACCTAGCCTGGTGAGTGACCCACTCATTTCCCGGCTTGTCAGCGACACTTTTGGCCGTCAACTGCTTAAGTGGGTTCAACCCGCCTGAAAAACCAGCAGTCCTCAGGATCCATCGTGTCAGGTAAAGGATTGACATCAGCCAACCATCTATCAAACGACCCCCCAACCCGCTGCACGCTGACCAAAAGCATTGGCCCGAGGAGCGGTGGCAAGCCATCGCGCAGATTGCACAAGCCCAAAGCTTGTGCCATGACCACCTGGCATGCCACTAGCAACGGTGAGCCAAACGAAACATGCAGGCAGTGGCTCACTACGGGTGATTAAGCGTGATTAAACCAATTGGAGAACACATTCAGAGGAGCTTCAAAAGCTCCGGAAAAATCATGAAACATGAGAATTCTCTCACACTGCTTTATATTCTGACCGTAAATAGAAGCTGCGTGCAAGAATCACCTTGGAGGGCGATCATGACAAACGTTAAATCACCTTGTAGAAAAAAAAAAATATATATATATATATATCCCTAGGGCTCCTGTCGTACCTCCTTAGAAGGTATGACTGGAACCTCTAAACCCACCCCAGTCCCACCTTCTAAGAAGGTCCGACTGGAGCCCTAGGGTATATATCTCTTCGTGGTGAACCTGCTTCCTGTCATCCGAACCGCTGATGTCCGGACAGCTGGTCCGAACCTCCGCGGTGTCTTGCTCGGAGCGCCAAACCACGCGACCACAAAAGAGTTCGCACAAGGAGACCTCGGTGGGAGGTCGGTCGGTGGAAGGCCCCCGGCGAGCGAAAGGCCGTCCAAGAGACCCATCAGTCGCGAAAGAGAACGACCTGGTTTGGTAGTTTAAAGATGTTTAGTAAAACAATGGTTGTTCGGTAATGGCTAGTAATGGCTAGTATCTCTATAAATCAATGGTGGTTGGAAGCCTGGGGCAAGTGCTTTGAGATGAGTAGGTGGACGCCCAATCCCAAGAGGTGGTCCAGAGTCCAGATAGAGCCTAGATGGTCCACATCTCTTCTCGAAGGGTCCAACTGGTTTGTCCTATCTTACATCATCTGACATCTATCGTTATGAACATGTGTTTTTCGATTGTAAGAGGAAATAGCCATAGCCTCAAGAGAGGGTACGGGGTAGATCTTGGGGTCGATCTCCTTGGGCGCGACTCGTTGATTTTGGACGTCAGCGCTATGAACCACATCACAACATGATGCAGGTTGTAAGTCCCAAAAAAGCCGAGCCGTGTGTTTTCACATCAGGAATGACATGAAACCTGTGTGCAGAGAGCATCATTTGGCCAAGGCATATAGAACCCCACAAATCACACACATGTGCTTCTTGCAAAGGGTCGCCGACATGTCAGTCACGTGTCATTCGATGGCAGCAAAGGGATGTCTCACCTCCAATTGGTCCATTTTGTTCTCAATACAACCTGAAGCACTCTCCCTCCTCCCCTTCGTCCTCCATCCACCTGTTTGGTTCACCAACACACCACTTCCCTTCCCCCACCCGCGCCTTCAGCCTCCGACCCCCGGAACTCCTCTCCGAGCCCTGAGCCCGGCACCGCGGTGCCCCAGACATCGGACTGGTGGCCGATGGGCAAGCGCAGCGTCATCTCCGGCGACCACTTGTCTCGGCGGCGGCAGCGGATCGGCGACGGACGGCTCGGCTCGGCGAGGCGAGGCGAGGCGGCGGCACGGGCGTCACATGCGGCGGCACGGCGGATCGGCGGCGGCGGATCGGCGAATGGTGGAGGGCGGTGATGGTGCTGGAGGTTGGGATGGGTGTTCGAGTTTGGGGGGTATTCTGCGGACCCAAGCCGTAAAGAATCAGGTCCAACATACTCCTAGATTAGAGTCTAAATAGTTCCTTTCCCAGTGCCTCCTATAGAAATAGTGCGCTGCCACCATCTCCTATACTACAGAAATGTGGCGTCCACGACCTAAACCTTGCGACGACACAACAAATGCCCTGCCTAAGTGGCCGGCACCTCCTTCGGCCAATGCCCTGGCAAGTGCGAGGACAAGACAAGGGTGGGTGGTAGGTGTTGAAAGGAGCGAAAAGCCGTGAACAAGCCGTGCAGTTCCGTAAACGCATTCGGGTGGATGGGGATGTTGGGAAAAAACCGTCAACCAATCAGTGCAGGTTTCTTTGAGCTCAAAGCCAATTCAACCATACTGTCAACCATTGCAGATCAGTGTACTTGCTAAGCCTTTGCACTGCGTCTCTGTTCCAAGAAATGCAGGACTAGCCTTTTCAAGTTACATAGGGGCTGGGTTTGCTTCGCTCCACCCAGTAGTGAAAACCATACCCAAAGCCACATGTCGCGCGCTTTGTTGACTACTTCAAACCGGATACTTCTGCATCTTCTCCTACCCCTCAGATCCACCGATCCCTATGGCACCTCTGAGCTTCTGAAGCCTCCTGCTTTCCCCCACCCACCAAAACCACCAGCCCCAAGCACGAGCGAACTCACTCCCTCGCTCGCGACGCTGCTCGGTCGCGCTCGAACTGGCTCGTCACTCGTCGCCGCTTCGTCACCCGGACGGAGCCGGACGGAGCCGGACGGAGCGTGGGGGATCCGCCCGAAGAGCGACGGTTCCTCCACGTGGCGCTCGGCTTTTACGCCCCAAACAGCCGGCTTGGCCAGTTGCGTCCTCGCTCTTCACGTTGGTCCAGGCCTCGCGGTTTGGGGGCGAAAGTGGGGGCGAAACCTCTCGGAAGGGGAGTGTAGAAACAAGGACTCTGGGACAAAATTACATTCTTTCCCAGCTGTATACCTACCGTTAAAGCACCAGCACTTCTAGTTGTAGAAGCAATGAACCGCGTTCCTATGGTAGTCTTATGTGTTTGAGTCTTTGGAGCCGGAAATAATCATGCACTTGAAGAGTTGTTTGGAATGTATCCAATGACATCGTGAACACTTCTGGACCATCTGTCTGGCTGCAATCTTGCTCTACGAGTACTGTTAGGCGAAGTGTCCTCTGGACTCAAACATCAACACCATTGTCTGATGAGCCAAATGCAAATGCACAACTTCTCAAAGCACAAGCGCCCTCAATTTCTTGACGAGTGGTATAGCTATGGTAATTTGGCCTTTGGACGATAGTCATGCTGCAAGAAGGTGCACATCTTCCCAGCAGCTGCTTGGACCTTCTTGGTGTTTCAACTTCTCAATATCGTGTGGACTTACCCTGACCCTTGAGGGTCCATGGTTGAGCCATACCTCCCACGTGCGCCGCGTGCCGCGAATTCAGTCTGCTGATGTCTCGGGTCTCGCACGTGCGCAGCCAAAGTCGACGATCCGAACCTAGGAGGGGGTCCACCTACATGTGGATCCTTCCGGTGGAGGGACATAGACCTTTGTTGATGTTGCAGTGGGGCAGTTGGTGGGCCTACTTCACCAGTACTCCGAACGCAGTAGACCTTCATACCAGAATTGGTGGCAATAAAACTTGCCATTATTCCGTGATTTGAAAATACATACTTCTTCCTGTCCAACCAGTGCTACTGCCAGGTCCAAAACCCTCCGACCATCGGGCAACCGAGCAACCGGTCGACTGCACCCCAACGCCTGAAGCTCAAAGCAGCTCGAAGCAGCTCGAAGCTCGCCTGGTTGGGTTCCGTCCAGATCAAGTTGTCCGGCTTCACGTCGTTGTGGACCAAGCCGGCCTTCTCCAACAACACCAAGCCTGCGAAAGGCATTGGGTTGTCGAAGCCCCACATGAAGTGATATGAAGAGTCTGAAGTGCGCTACCAAAAAGAAGGTCTTCAAATGCATACCCCCCAAGAGGCAACAAATTCATGCAACATCCAAATATGATATGTTCATAATCATGATAGTCCAGATTTAGTTCCAGACCTTTAGGATGTTGATACGTCCCTCGGCGATACATGTTTTGTGAGCTCCCAAGAGAAGCCATAAAACGCAAGGTCTGCGCTCTGGCTGCCTGAGAGCGCTCCCAAGGCAACTGTGCGGATCTTCCTCAAACGTGAGGTGCACATGCAGTGCTGGCAGGTCGCATGTGCAAGTCGTTTGGGGCGCACGGGCCGTGCACGGGTGCTACAAACTGCGGACCTGCTTTTCCAAGTAAGCAGGCTTCCCTTTGATGCCATGCTCCGGGTGAGGTAGATTTGGGAGGAAGGGAAACACAAGCTGAAAACCAATTAGCACGTGCTTCTATACCTTTCCCTTAAAATTTGCGTAGTTGTAAAACACCTTCATCATCCTTCATCCACCACCTAGCACATCCTAGCACCTCCTTTCCCACGCCCTGAATCCATGCACTATCGATGCCTTACGTCTCAGCGCCCCTCATCCTCTGGGCGCTCCAAGCATTGGATCCTTGAAGAAGCCCGGCTGTTCGGTGGAGATCACCAAGCAGTTCTTCCCCTAGACCGAGCGGAGCAACCACACGTCAAGACACCACGTTCACAGGTTCAGAAAGGAGACATTGAGACATTCGGCCTGGCTGGGCAATCTGCTGCACAAGTCTTGATCGGTCAGCGCCTTCAAAAATTCACCTAAATCAGGTCACCAAGAACCTTGTTGCATTAAGTAAACATTAATCTGTTCATTGGCCCTTGAACGCTGGGAAGTTCCCCCATTCTCCGGTTCACCACCGGTGAGCCTCGAACATGCTCTCGACCGTGTAGCCCACCTCAGCTTTCGGCACCGTTCGCGCGCGGTCGGTCCGCTAGGTGAGAAGCCGTGGGAAGCTGAAGTTATAGTGGCTTGGTGACCCCACTTCGTGCGCACCAAACAAATCACATGTTGGGCCTTATCGACTCTTCTGATCTCTTCTTCCTCTTCTTCTTTCTCTTCTTCCTCTTCTTCTTCCTCTTCTTCTTCCTCCTCTTCTTCTTCGTCATCTTCTTCTTCTTCGTCTTCTTCTTCTGAGGTGTAGTATATGAGTGATATCATGATATAATTCTCTTTTTGCCATGTGACATAGAAACTCGGTCCAGTCCAGCGATCGGATTTTTATGTGGATTTTTGGAATGTCAGTGTGTCACCACTGAGCACTTTCAGAGGTGTTTTTTCTCTTTCCCAACACCCCAATAGCATCAGCCAAAGGAAGTTGGATAGCTCGGTGGCCAAAAGACACAGCCGAACACACGGCGCGCACGTACATGCGCCGACAGGTGGGCCCCGGACGAGGTCGAAGAAGGCGTCCACCAGGACGGGGAAGAACTGCCCACCTGGTGTCATTGGTGACGCTCGCTACAGCTGCAGTTGCCATCAAAATGGGAATGGCTTTGGGGGGGATCACCAAATCGGCCAGGTCCTAGCAAGTCAAGCTCCTTAAAACATCCAGCGGCCATGCCAACCGGCATGGTCATCCAATTATCTCCTCCAGTCCAGATGGTCCTGTTCCCTACAGGTCCAGTCTGACCCAGGTCCCAAACCTGGTCCAAATCTGAGAGAGTCGAATTGTGGAATGGTGTGGAGTCCTGGTTTTTGTATGACCAACTCCAGTAAAATGAGGACTGACCTGTAACAGGCCACACTGAAGGGTAAGGAATTTGGAACACCAAGAATCCCACCACCCAGCATGTTCAAAGACTTTCAGCGGTGAAGGTTCACTGGAGGGGATTGGAGGTGTACCTGAGGTGGGGGGGCAACCCAGATACTTAACGCACTGTTTTGCACGGGAAGCCCAGGGCGCTTGGGACGCCATACTGCAAACCTCTGTGGCATTCGGTCACAATTTGTGCGTCCTTCAATCTTCTTGATGTTGGATCTTGTTGACAGTGACTCCCATATTAGGCTTTTTGAAGCAAAACAAACCACCGCAGCCCAACAGCATCACTCATCAATTTCAATCAATTTCCTGTCAAGTTCTGCTTCAAGACCACAGGGAAGCAAGCAGACCACCACGCGGTTCGCGGTTCGCGTTCTTCCCGGACGAAATGACGTCGGACGAAGCAGCTGGGGACGAAGCGCGGCGGGCCTCGATCCACCTCGTCCAGGCGCTTGGCCGCGACGAAGAAGTCGGCTAAGGCCTGGCGCCGGACCGACGACGGACCGAGTCCGGCGACGGGGACCGACGGACCGAAGGAGGTGAGGAGGTGCGAAGGGGGGGACGGAGGGGGACGGAGGGAGAAGGGCACCAGAGGGAGGAAGGCACTGGGACCGGTGCGCGCCTGGCCATTTGGGTGAGGGAAGCTGAGAGGATGTGAGGGGATATGGAGAAGGGTATAGGTGATGGCGTTCGGGTGTGATGGAGTCTAGATTTTGAGCATGGAAAATGGCAGGAAACAGGTTGTTGTATGATTTGATTGTGAATTTGGAGTCTTGTCCCAAGCAGCATTGGATGTCTGCTGGGTTGAACTCGTGTCAAAATGAACTTGATGAGAGGACGTCCAGCTTCAGCGATGAAACAATCACACGGCATGAACATCTCAAAGTCAAGACCTGTTGTGGTGACACCCACCCAGCCCGGACATACCCACCCTTTCAGGGTGGGCCCTCTCAGTTCCTCAGTCATTCAGTTCTTCGCAGCCTCAATGGGCAGGTTCCGATGTCGCTTCACGCACACCTCAGCGGTCATTGTTGATGGCGGTCTCACTACAGTGCCGTTGATGGTTAACATGGAACTCGTATATTATAAAGACGTTGAACTCTCAAAACAGTTCTTTCTCCATCAAAACTTCCAGCAACAGACATTACAAAAAGCCTCTAAGCATGGAAGTCGCTGCTTCAGCTCAGGCACAAAACGATCCTCCTGAAGATCTTTCGCCAGAAAGGCCTCTCAGCAGTGCACTTGGACAGCAAACCAGCGCGACCAGCGAGACCAAAGCCACTGGGTACTTGCGCTGATTATGGGATCTGATAGACCAAATCCTGCAATCCTGCACTCGCATGGATTCCCCAAAAAAAAAGCATCGTCAGCATCGTGCATTGCGCATTTGTGACAAATGCGTGGATTCGTCCATCTGTCCCGTGCCACACGTCCATTCATCAAAGCTCCAGGCCTTAGTGAAGTGACCCTCGCCCACCAGCTGCATGATCTTGTACCTTGCCAGGTATGTGGGCTATTGTGTTGGTTTAGGATGGGAAACGACATGAGTCTGTTGATGTATTTGGGGTGTTAACTTGCGTGTCCAGGTTCTTGTCGGAAAGAGAAGAATGAATCATGTCATTGCGACAGAGAGCACATCCAGGTTGCCAAACAAGCAAGGTGTCACTTCTCATGTAGAATCATGTAGATAGAACTGGACAGGGAAATAATTACAAGGAATCTGGTGGAGATCATGATGCAGTTCGAACACATCAAAGTACGACGATGCGCAAACCGGGCCTTTGTGCCAGCACTTCCCCATCGCTGAGGCCTAGGGTCCACGGCGCCGTCTCGGCGAGCAGCTCGGGTCGTCTCTGCAAGCGAGCAGCTCGGTTTGTGGATGAGTTTTCCGTGCAGGCCTTGGGTTTCATGCAGTTATGCCATGCCTGCTTAGCTCGTGGAAATCAGCTTGAAAAGGAAGAGTTGTCCTGTTAAGCCTGGCAACAAGGTTTAGACCCAACCGATTGGAGCGTGGTGAGCGCTTCAGCCTGAATTGGTCTTTAAAAGGTAAAAAGTCGCATGTTCGACATGTCTCCCAAGAGTTGAAGACTGGAATAACCTTGATTAAACATGATTATATGTTCCCTGATTGTATAAACTGATTCATTCTGGCTCAAGACTGGATTGAAGACTGGATTTTTCACAAAGTGGAAGTCTTCAACGTGCTGACTTCGACTTAGGCGCCGCGGTCCAGATCCCCCGACTCCAGCTCGGGCGGCTCTGGGCCGCCCCGACCAGTGGCACTCAGCAATTCCCGGGCGTGTCCACCTGCAAAGCACGTGGTTAAGGCGGGAAGGGATCTAAGAAGAACTGGTTTTTGTGGATCAAATGTCAAGTATGGTGTCACCGGGATTGAAGAGACAAACCATTAAAAAAAAGCCTGCATGGGGATTGAAACCATCTCCTCACGCACGTAGTATATACGCATGGGTGGTTGTTCTTTTCTCGGTGACCATCTTCACAGCATTGACAGCCACCCAAACCCCCGTCGTAACACATTAGTGAGCCACCACTTCTCTCACCAGATGGCGGTCGCGTGACATGTGTTAGGCTTCAGGCTGGGTCGTCCCATGGATCCACCAGTCCGTCTCGTGATGTCCCATGGATCGACGAACCGACCCGGTGAGGACGGAGACACTGGAGGCGCCAGGGGGGGGCCCAGTCGTCCCTTCTGAACAAGTGGCAGTGGATCCGTTTTTTCAGCACCATAGATCTCCTGGGTGGCTGGATGTGGCTGGGCTTCTCTTGGTTGCTGCCCTTGGTGCCCATATCCCCCTATACCTCCCCACACACCGCCACACACGGCGCGTTCGGAAAGAACGACGCGAAGACCCACGCAACGTCCCAGGCACCGCAGATGTCACGTCGCACGCGAATGGAGAGCTTCGTCCAAAGTTCTGGCCGAACGGATCGCGCGGAGGGACGCGGAGAAACGGAGTCGTGCGGAACACGGGGGTGACAGGACCAGTCCGTGGCTTTGGGGGAACAGTCCGTGGCGCAGTCATCAGTGAGTTCCGTAGGCAGCCCATTTGGTTTCAGTTGAGGGTGTCTCGCAGATGTGGACATGGCTCGCAGTGGTGGGAGTCCACCTCATTCTTCACGGTTGTGACGGTTGTGATTTTTTGGAACTGAAAGAAGAGAGAGGGGGGATTTCCCCATGATTTCCCAATTACACCTCGCTTGGACTTCCCAAACCACAGCTACATGGAAAGCTTGCTCATCAGAACAGCAGACTTCTATCTTCGCTCTTCGCAACCCACCCAGACTCGATCCTTAACGAAAGGCCTTATACACACATCAAAAGACCATCTTCATCAATCACCACATACTACTGTCAGAGGGAAACATGCAGCCCCTGCGAGCCGTGGTATTTACCATTTGCAAGTCGGTGTTTTGTCCGTGTTTGCTTCAGTCCCACCGGGTGCGGGATTTCGTTCCTTCGCATCTGCCAATCTGCCAATCCCGACCAACCAAAAACGTTCGGGACCTGGGGGGCAAAACTTGCCAATGCGACGCTCCATGGGACTGGCCAAAGTGAACAAATGTAGGGCTTTGGATCCCCTTTTCAATCAACCAATTTTTGGGGCTCTTGATCAATGGTCACACCGCCATTGGGATTCTAAGACCTCTTCCTGTCCGGGGGTTTACTATTAATATCTATTCATCAAAGAGTCTACATTGCCCCAACTGATGATTAATGCCAATGTAGATGGTGTTTTGACTGGCCAGTCATGGCATGGACCCCTGTTGAATCAACCACCCCCAACTGATGGGGGGGGTTCTATGCCAGTCTCTTCAGCAACGAACGACACGTGCTTTGTGTGTCGGATCGACGTCCAGCGCCTGGCCCCTCATCGCTGGGGACGGTGTCCATCTTGGCCTTGGCCGGGCCATCCAGTTCCGATTCCAATGGATGATGATTCGGTTTACCCAACGACACCTGCGACTGAAAGAGACGACATCCAACGACAAAAAAAAAGGGGCACAAGTGTTCTCCCAATTGATGTGACAAACTAGGACCAATCATGATTTTTAACTGGTCACACATGGTCGTACCGAGTCATACCACTAAAGCCATCCAGGAGTTGGGGCCTGGGGGTTGGTGCTTGTGGTGCTTGTGGTGGTGATGGTTTTTCTCGTGGTTCTAGCCTTGGAACCTTGAAGCTCCTGCTAGAGGATCCTCCCTTTCTGAGCTTTCCCCACTGGGCGACCCCAATCGGTGAAGTCTGAAGGGTGACACCCCGCGAAGCCCACATCGTGGGTGGCGGCGAAACAGCCCGCCGCAGCTCAGCCGCGTCACAAGGGGTGGCCAGCCCACGAGGATCTGCTCCGACCAGGCTTCGGCCAGCATCTCCTGGTCGAAACTTGGACCGGTCCTGAGGTCACTGAGCTCGGTGACCCAATAAACTACATAAGGAGGTGGAGAGTGCGGAGGAGGAGCACAGGAAATCCACAACACCCAAAGGACCTTCCAAGGCTTCAATCAGGAATTCATTCGGATTACATTGAATTCCATGCATCGTCAGGCAAAACTGCGCAGTTCATCATAGAGCGGGTGCTCCTCGGTCCAAGGCTCAAAGCCCTGGCGACGGGGCAAGAGGGAGAGGGCTGCGGTTCTTCCCAATTCTCAGTTCTTCCAAGTACAATCCACCAGCTGTCAAAGAACAGCTGTGATTTGAGGCTGAGAAGCTAAGAACTAGCTGTGTATCTTTTCCAAGAACAGCTGTGATGGCAAAGCCTCAAAGTCACTGGGAACTGGACTCCAATCAGGTCAACTGAAGAAGCGGGTCGAAGCTAAGGAACGTCTGCGGGTCTTGGTCTCATGCTGTTGTGAGCACTGGTCTCCGCATCGAGGATGAGTCGCTTAAGTCTTGTCGCAGTCGTTTCTGAGCTAAACAATGAGACCAACAAAAGGGGAACAAAAACAACAGGTGTTCAAGCTAAACCCTTCTGAGCTACCTCAATCACAAGACAAGAAGGTATTGCCTTTTCAAACAATCCACCTAGCTGTCAAAGAGATCACCAGAAGGATAGGCCACCAATGTAAAACCCGAGGCTAGCATCCACTTTTCCGGATAGATGCTCCCAGTCCCCTCGCATTCGTCTTTCCACAGCCTCCACGGGTATCAAGGCGTGGTTGGAGTTCTGAGGCGGCTCTCCGTAGTACTCCACCCAACAGCTCTCGCAGTACCTGACCATCCATCAAATGCAAGGAAACACCGTCAAAAAACACCCTTAAGATTGGAACAGGCCCATGGCGACTTGAATCCACATGGATCACTGATCACCATACAGAGTTGCCATGCAGTTGCTGTACCTTCTATAAAAATAGGTGGAGGATTGGTTTGCGTTCATCAACCTTCGATGAGGTGACACATCTGGGACTCCACACTTCCTATATATACCTGCCCCCCTTGATAGATACAAATTCCAGCCCATCTTGATAAAAGAAGGCTTTTAGCAAATGTTGCAAGAAATCACGTCCCTCCACGGGAGTTTACGTCCATGTGATAATCCCCACGGTTATTCACGTCCATGTGTTTTGGTCTCATATACATCAATATTTTGCTCAAAATCAACGTTTGCTAGGATTCCCATCAAATGTCAGTACCCCCAAATGCAACAACAAATCAAGCCTTCTTCCTCCAGCCCATGCACCTGCCAGTCCCTGTCTCTCCACTAGTTCCTAGCCCATGCACACTGTATGTGGCATAAATACCGCTCAAGCGTCCGTTTGGACATGATGCGGGGAGATACGCAGCGGCTTACCGCTGCGCATCTCCCTATAAAATCTTCGTCCATGGAACAAGAGAAAACGGCTGGGTTCATGACGTATCCGGCCCTCTGTGCATCCTTTTTCAAATGGAATGATAGTTCATGCACAGCATGAAGCTTGGGGAACAAACCAAAGTAAGCCAAGCCCAGGTTGTATGCTGCAGCAGCTTGGAACAGGTAGGCCTTGAAGAAGTCTTGAAGGCAATTGCTCAGGTACATTGCCGAGTCCCGTGGTATCAGCACATCGTGGCTGTATATACCCCTCATGAACTCATTGGCCCTCATGGTCCCAGCAGCCTCAAAACCAAAGACAAAAAAGTAAGCCCAAATGCCTCCCAATTCAACTAGGTCCATTGAACTACAAACGGTATATAGGTCAGCAGGCACAAAGCCTAAAGAAACCAAATACAACATGCATCAAAAGAGTATAAAGGCCAATGCGGGCTGGAAACAAACACACGTAGACGCTCATCACCCTGTAAGACGTCCCTGTGCTCCTCGCAAAACTCTTCCAGAAACATCATGAAATTGCTGGTGACTGCGGCTTTGTTCCAACAACCGGAGGGTTCAGTCGCCGAGCCAAAGGTGCGCCAATCAATTTTCCGCAGTACTGGGTCCAGCTTCTTCCGTTTACAAAAATTCTTGTACCGAGACCCAATGAAGGAAATCCTGGCATCCATTTGTGATTCAGGCAGAAACTTTTGTATCATCATGATGCCACAGGCCACCCAAGACTTGCCGACTCCCAAATGCAATGTGTGCCAAGGGTCGATGAGGTGAAATCTGGCCTTCCCATTCGGGCTTCGATCAACAAGAAGTTCCCTGGTCATTGCACATTCTCGAAACCAGGGTGGAGGCAGCTCTTCAACAAATGATCGTTCCATCTCTGCTTCTGCTGCATTCCTTAGTCAGTAGCAATGGAAGCCATCCCCATGGGTGTAAGGTGCAGAAAGCACATTGAGTTTCAAATGATGGATTTCTTCAAGCACCGGTTGGTGCATTGGACAAAAAAGTGGAAAGTAAAACTGTGACCATGGAAAGTACCAGCATCAAATCTTCCCAGTCCACACCCTGACCACAGGTGCAAAGGTGACAAATTCCTGCTCCAGAAACGTTGTGATCGTCATCACGTGCTCCCTTTGGTGCCCTCCGGTATGATCGTTCCAAGTTCGCCGAGGATACCTTGAGTCCACATGAAGCTCAAAACTGAACAACATATTTTGGGGTCAACCAATACAAACTTAAAACTGACCTCCGTTCCAACCAGGAAACCAAATAACTCCAGTCGCCTTTGTTACCGAGAAGGATGGGAAATACCTTTTCTTGCCCGCTGCCAATCGCAATCCCTTCCTTTTGGCAACGGGCGAGGTCAGCAACAACTACCTCGAAGATCGCATTCCAGACCCTCGGGTCATCCGAGTACAACTCCTACACAGGGCCAACAATCCCAGGGGAATTATCAGCTCATCCCCCCTATAGACATGCTTTCAAAAACGAGGTGGGATCGCCTGCAACCTTCCTGCCACACATTTAGTCACCCAAAGTCCTTGGGACACACGCAAACCAGCAGCCTTGTTTGGAAACCAGTTCTCAAGAAATTCAGTGGTATTCCTTGTGTTGCCCCTCTGAAGTTCTCATCTCTCTTGCTGGATCCGTGTCCAAAAATTCCCTGAATGGATAGGACTAGCAGCCCGCTCTTGCGGTACGTTACCCCCTCGTCTCCGTGGAACAGGATTGGTAGGCAATGCGAAAGCGGCTTGAGCCCCGCGTCCACATCCCTCCGCAGCTCGTGCTGTGGAAACAGTGCCCTGTACTTGGACCAAAAGTCCAGGAGTATCCCACAGGCACTTTGTAGGGAGTGCCCTCCTAACAAATGACCAAGGTCGTTCATTTTGGCCATGCTTTTGATGAAGTTTGATGGTCGGATCCAGGGGAATGAACACAAAGGTGGATTGTCTTCATATGAGATGTCCACCGGGTAATAGAAGTTGTTCAATCTGAATACTGTAGTCACAGCTTCTTCCTTATTAGTGCGTGAAAGGGCTGAACATGATCTATTTCGGGGTACTGGTGATTTTTGAATGGGCTGCAAAAAAGTCAAAAAGCTTGAAACAAACATCCCAGGGTCCGACTTTTTTCGGTCAGCGGTAGCCAATGCGGAGAGAACTGGGCAGGTCATGCTTGCATGGAAACCGTCGCTGACATCTCGCATTTCAGCAGCTGCGAACTCGAGGATCTCACAGCACTTTTCCTGAATCGCGCGCATGTCTCATGCACGAAGACCAATCCTCACATGCATGATTCTATGAGGTCAGGTGGTTAAGTTATCGATCCAAAGTCCATCATATTCCTGTCCACAGTGTACATCATTTTGCAGGCCCCACAACTTTCCCACAGATTGCCAAGTTGCGCCGCGTCCATACTTCCATGCAAGTTGGCGCGCCTTGTGTGAGGGACCTGGCAGTGCAGGGTGCGGGGTTGTTGCGGGTTCAGTTCTGACGGGTTTGGTGGGTCAGTGTTGGAACTAAAGGCTTCTATATGAAACCTTGCCACTCCATGACCTGACCTGAAAAATGACCTCGGTGAGACATCCAATGCGCCATAGTGCGCCTGCTTTTCTTTTGCACACTTTTGGCACTGGATTGGTTGCATGTGCAGTGGGATGCCACCGCTCACACACCATCAACTTCAAACCCCAAATCTGTAAATTGAAATCCATGTGTTCTCCACATGGCAGATACCCCAAGTTGCCTTGCGTGCCCAGAAGTGTTGGATCCACAACATCAAAAACAAATCCATCTAAACACTTCCATGGCAGTAAAATTCGGTGTTATATCCGACAATGCCAAACAAGGGTCTACATGCACTTCAGTCCAACACGGGCATTTGGCGCTTAGGCCCCTTTGCGAGCCTTCTTGCTGCCCCTCGCACTGGCAGGAACGGATTCCGGCTTGTTTTCACCTTTGGGTTTCCGAGATGCCTTTTCCTTCTTTGAAGAGGCACCTTTGCCCTTACGGCAACCACCCCTGTTTTTTTTTGATTTGTTCTTGGGAGACTTTACTCCCTTTTCTTTGCTATTCTTGCCCTTAGCAGCATCGGTCTCAGAGATGACAATCCTGGAGCGGGGCGGCACGTATATATATCATGAAAAGTGGGAGGGCATTCATCAAACATTTGTTGTCAGCTTCTATGCATCCAGGTTCGCCTGTAGCGGGCTTCTAGTGGGATCAAAGCCGAGCACCTCGGGCGGCGGTTTTCGTATATATATTAAGTCAACCCAGGCACTTCGAAGGGAATCGGAACACACTGATTGCGACAAGTAACTGTTTCCTCACCATGTCCTTCTCATCAGTCACCTCCTTCAACAGCCTTAGATGGAAGCAGATGCAACCTATCTAGAACGTGGCGATCAATAAACCACAAGTTTCTTGATCACATGAATTCTCTGTTGTTCGTTTTCTATTTTGAGCATCCTGTATACGTCTTCAAACGACTGGTATAGCCATTAAAGGGCCCCATTTGGATGGACTCCTCGAGGCTTTCCCCATCAATGACAAGGACACAAGTTTATATATGGTTTTATTCCTTTCTTGTCACCATCTCGCATGAGTTCAGGTTCTCGATGTTGATCAGTTCAAGGGTCCTCTCTGTTGGATAAGGGCACCCTCAAAAAAGCCGCCAAGATAGTTTAGGAGGCCGCATAGATACCGATGAGCTGTTCTCATTTGGCAGCATCATGAGTGGAAGTGCGGTTGTGCCACCGCGCAGTGGGTGTAACCCAATTCACTGCGTTAAAAAAACAAGGCTTTGGGGTTTGGGGACGCCAAAACACCGTGTCCAGTGCTTCACAACAGTGCTTCATGATTTCATGCCTATATTAAATCATTCAATCTTCTCAAAATCCTCAATACACTGTGGAGTGTGTGACGGTGCGACGGTACCTAGGAACTGCCCAAACGAACATGGTCTTTGAAACATGTTTTTTGGAACACCCACCTGGTGAATCTTGAAAACTGCTGAGGAGACTTTCATGCTGGCCTGTCCACCTGTCAGATTGAACTTTGAACTATAAATTTGATCCAGACCATATGGGGGCCTCCGGTTGAGTTTTTTTTATCCTTTGGCGTTATCCTCGCGAGCATCGCCATGCACCCCGAGATCCATTGAATTACCGAGTCCAAACAAAAACCAAACGTTTGAAGCGATGTTTTACGGATACAAGGAGGCAGTGGGTGTTTCGTTTCCTCCCTTTATAAGTTAATATAAGCAACCCGGTCAGAGCATCACTTTGCAGCTGGCCATCGCGGTGCTCCAGTTTGAGCTCGGTGATCCAAGCTGCAAACTTCTCAAAGGTGGCCTTCATGTTCTTGTCAAGGGGCACCAAAGCCTCATGCAACCTCAGCCCCGAATGCCAAGCAAACCCTGCACTGTTTTATCCTATGCCGCCCAATTTGTGTTTGACACATCGGTTGACTGCAATCAAAATGCTTCTTTGCTGGTTCTCCGGTGATTTGCGAGAGCTTGGACATCATCTTGGACATACTTTGCATTTTCTTTTCTAGATTCTCCATGTAGGTCTCGAGGTCCGCCACAGGCTGGACAGGGGTTAAAAACACAGATGACGGTAACACTGGTTGTTGCTATATGTGATGCTTTTTAAAGAACGGTTTGTCTGTCCTTAGATCCAACCACCGATGGCCCTGGGATTGCTTCCGGAACTCGGGCCAGCCCCGGTTCCAAACGCGCAGGAGCATCATCTGCCGAGATTTCCTTGTCCTTGGAACAGGCAGAGGCGGCGGGATGTTGGATTATACAGCTCAGCTGAGTGAATATATGGAAGCAGAAACTCCACTAATCAAAGACATGGTCTATTGTTTCAACATGTTCCAACCCTCAATGCAGGATCTCATTCAGAAAAGGAAATAGCAGATCGATGGATGTATATTACACCAAGAATCGGCAAACTGGGTTTCCTCAACGTCGCGAACGCTCTCCACTTTTTTGTGAAGTGCATTGTCCTCCAGGATCACGAAATATTCGTTGACCTGTTCATTATACTGCCATGGCCTGCAAAGCGAGAATCAACTCAGGTATACCTGAGTTATACTCATGGATTTTGATTTGCATAAGGTGTTGCTTTCTTTTTTTTTGAATCTCAAATCCTTTCTGTACATCAAAGGGCCTTACTAGCGACTCCGGGAACTTTTTGCAATAGCTGATGATTGCCTTGATGGAGGCTGCAGACCAGAGGCCACTCTTGCGCATGGCCTCTTCCGTCATCCAGCGGCCGTACTTCTCGCTTTCCTTACTGTCCATCTTCTCCTTGATGAGTTTCACCTTCACGGTGAAATCTGCCTTGAAGCAAACCGGAAGTTGCTGATTTGGTGCATATGGTGGAGTCAAAAGGCATCGTCATATATATATATATGTATTGTTTTTGCAAGATATGCATGCACAAGTGGTCCCTATATAGTGCATTGCATCTACACAGGATTTAAAAAACACTGTATTGATCAGAACTCCGATGTACTTTCACTCGCTTGTACACGGAACGGCTCAGCCCATGTTTTCCGATGGCTTCAAGAAGGGCCATCTCCAATATCTCCCGGCACTCCCCTCCAGCACGAAATTGCTGGGCTATCTCAGCCGTCACAGCACATTTGCCGCTGGGTTTTGTTTCGCAAAGGCGTCTGCACCGCATTCTCAAGGCATCCGCCGAAATCTTGACCTGAAGAGGCTTACCCTGGAGGCAGAACACAGGGAGGCAACCGCCCCTGACTGCAACCACGCATACCCCAACACGTTCTACAGCTCTGAAACTGGGCTGAGGGACAGTTTGACCACCGGGTGTTGTGAGATACTCCTCCTCATCACCATCACTGGCACAGCTCTCAGAGCCATCAGCGTCTTTCCCATGGCCCGTGCCAGCAGAGGACTGGTTTTTTGGCAGTGGCTGACATGTCTCACGTTCTTTCGTTGGTTCTGTGGGCGTTTGCCCGCGGCAATTTTTCTGCATGGCAGATTCCAAAGTATTGACACGTTCCAATGTATTTTCAAGCAACTGCTGCAACTTTGACTGGTTTGCTTCGGCACCGGCCTTCTTGACTTCATTGTCCCAAGCGTCAAACTCCAACTGCTTAATCTTGGCAAGCAGCTGCTGTTTATGCTTTTCCTGATCATCAATCTTGGCCTGCAGCTCCAAATCCGCCTGCGTGCAAATCGCAATTGGGCGATGCTGGACGATGCTGGATGCGCATGCATGGTTTAGCTAGGTCACAGGGTCGACCCCTGCGTTGCCTGAGTGGGAGGCTTGATTGGCTCACCAACCGGCTCTCTAATCTTCTTGGAAGACACAGGTGGAGATGCATGAAGCCCACGAGGAATAGAAGCTGCCGGGGATGGTATCGCCTGGAAAGATAGATATATTTATGTAATAAATACGTATACCTATTGCAAATATGGGCTGTTCAATTCGGCTAGATTGCTGCTGGAACTGTCTCCGCCCCAGGTGAAGCCATGTCCGTCAAAGCATTGGCATCCTCAAGTGAAAAAAGGACTTCATGGCTATCCTTTTAATTTTGATAAAGCACTGAACAGAACATGGAGCACAGATCGACAAAAGTCCCTGCCAAGATCCTTTTCCTTTGGTGGCTCCTGTGGAGCAATCTTCGGCGTCGCAGGCTGCTCCATCTTGACGGGGATCAGTGCCCTGCCAGAAGCCTCAGATCAAAGGCTGTGATGGTTGGGCGAATCACTGGACTGTTGGACCTCAATTGCAAAGCTTATATAAATATATATGTGGTCTGGAGCTCTGAACAACTTTGGGAATGCGGAAATAGCCTTGAATTGTTTTTTATGTGCATGATGCACGAATGACACCAAGTAACGTTCTTGCTTTGGAGGTTCTTGAGGATCACCTCTGCCACCTGGCGAAGGTGGCTGGGTGGGGATTGCAGTTAAAGGGGCGCCAAATTGATGGTTATACGAATTGAAGATGTTTGGAAAACTAGCTTGCAGAGGACTCCCCCCCCGGCCTGAGCAAGATCCTGGTTTTGGATCTGAAGTCCGGAAGCTTGAGCGGCGATTTGGATACCTTCTTGTAGGGTTTGGCAACTCCAACCCTGCGAAGGCAAGCTGGTGACCATGGAATCAGAGGACATCCTGGTGTACCCTGATCGAATCAAATCCCTGCCGGCTGATTGCACCAAATGGCTGGACAATGAAAACGGTGATTAGTATACAGTGCGATTCCAATTCCTCAAAAATGTTGCAAACATCTGTCCACAAGCCAACTTCTTTTCAGAGTTCATATTGGCATGCACTTTACCATGGGTCAAACCACGATGGTCAATGCATTACAGGTAGTGCGCAACACCCCAAATGAGAAATTTATTGCAAAATATTGCAAACATATAGACGTCTCAAAAAGCACCCAAAATAACCTATTTTTTTACATAATATTTCCATACTATTTGCGCAAGTCGAACGCAATCCGAACGTAATCCGAACGTAATGTGAACGTAATCTGAACGTAATCCGAACGGTTCACGGGGAATCATGTCCACACAACGGTTTTTCACGTCCATGTACGGATCTCAAAAAATGTGCATAATTGTGCATATATTGTGTTCCCAACAATTCTTTCAATTTTCAATAGCCCTCAAGGGATTATATGCAGAAGACTTGGTGGGTGGTGGATCTATTTGGGGTGTTCAATGCACCACCTGCAACCAAAAGTGGGAGCCCTTAGGCCCGAGCCTCTGATTCAGTCTGGGATCTTTTACATTTCCCCAACTGATGAAGGATTTCTAGTGCAGGTGGCATCGCATTCAACCACTCACTTGGCAGGTTCAAATGACGATTGCCCCGCAAATATTTGAGCGAGGCACCCAACTTAGCCTCTTCCCAAGTAGTGAAAGACAATTTGCGAAAAAGGTCAGGTGCACTTTGGCCCCCATCCGGAATCTTTGGGACACCTTGGCTGCCCCTCACAAGGTCTGGGAGCATATCACGAATTGCATCTGCAAATCCTTGGGGATAGGCCCTTAGTTGAGGTTTTGGCCAAAAGCTTTGTACGCAGCATGCTAGTTACATTCTGAAGAAACATCGAGAACCACAAATGAGGTCATGGCTGACTTTTCTTGAGTTCGGATGTGCCGGTGTAGGAAACTTTCCCAGAAGTTTTGCTGATCGTCTTCTTCACCGTTTTGGATGATGGTTTATACTGCGACCTCCTCAATTTACCACGGTCCAGATTGTTAAACTTCGGGTTGTTGGTCCATCCTTTCTGTGGTTTCGCCGAGGGAGCTCCAAAGTGTGCCATCCACCAGCGGACGCCATAGACCTGGGCAATCGCAGAGGCTCGGGTCAGATTGCAAAAGCGTCGGGCCAGTAGCAACATATGTTCATGAAAAGCACCTTATGAAGCCTTGCATTTCATGCATCGAGTTCAGTCTGTTTATCAGGCGTTTCCAATAAAGAATGATCATGTGGATGCATGTACCTTGTTTAAATCCCTGGCACTTTGCAAGTCCTCATGAACCATTGCATCCGAAAGTATTCACCCATGAGACTGCTTTTAGGCTGTTCCAGAAGGAAGGATCCTTCGCACGCCACCACCAAAGCCAGCAACAGGGTGCACCTAGGTGTACTGGGAGCAGCCCTTTTAAATGTTATTGCAAAAGCATGTGCCCTAGCAATTAGATCAAAGCAATCATTTCAGAGGAGGAGCCGGCTTACCATGGTATTCGCTTGTTGGATATATCGCTTGCTGCAATCTCCTTCTGGTACCAACAAAGATCTACATGATGTATAGGAGTTGATGTGGACCCAACTGCTGCACACAGTAGCCCAGACCGAAGCGAAATTGCCCATCGAACAAGATAAGATCAAGTGGATGTATAACCTTGGACTGTTCAAACAAGATGCCTTACTCCCAGAGCCCGACGCAGAAACCACCGCTCCAGTTTGTTACAGTGTTACATGACTGATGATTATGTTGCACATAGCTAGGGATGGGGCCCCATTCCAGCACTCGAAAGGATATCGAAGGGATTCTGGTGGCCATCGGTCTTGTCAATCATGTTGATATCAATCCCGATTGCATTCCATGAGTCTGCTCTGACGGCCTGCCAAACACGACCTTCTCCACAGAAGAACTCCAGGAAGCTGAGCTCCTGAAGATACAGCAGGCCAAGAGCACCTGTGGGGGGCGTTGGGTCTTGTCATGTTTTGCCACTTATATACCAAATAAATGGGCCCCACCCTATAAATCTCCAGTCTTTGACATCTCATCTCCTCGAATCGTGGAAAATTCTCCGAGAAGGCGACCAAGATCACCATCATCACAAATGCCTTGGTTGCTCGTGTGTTGAGCCATGGCGATTCGAGCCATGTATTCATGTTGGAATATATGTTGTTTATTTATTTATTCTGGTCATATATAGCCAAGAAGCCTTGGGAACTTGCAAGGCTATCAGCCTCTTCACTACATCTCCAATCCTTTGTCTTCCAGTCACCATGGGAAATAGGCAGCACACCGAAAAGCTTTTCTGTGCAAGAGTCTCAATGACCTACGTTGGGTAAAGCTGGTCTTAATGTGTTTTTGACCCATGCCCATGCCCTATAGAATGAGGAAGTTGGGGTTTACAATGCCATGCCGCATGGTGCGCGTTTGATGCTGAAGATGCCATTGGTTCTTCTGGATGATGCATTCTAGCTGAAGAACATGGGTTTTTCTGGCCATGCCTTTGGAAAAAACAAAGCCAACAACTTGTGCACGCCAACATCCAATGAACGTGTTTTATACTTTCGCCAGGTTGCATGCAAAGTCAATCTGACACAGTGGGTCTTGTTCCAAGATCATGGACGTGTCTCGACATAGATTCCTATATAGTATACCATATATAATATATACACACTTCCGAAACATGTATATAGACCGTTTGAAGTGCCCCCTGAAAGCGAGCCATCGATACCACTGGGAAAGCGCGGATTGGCCCCTTGCCGCACTGCATTGCGGAAGCCTTTGGTGAGCTTTCTCACCTTTGGCCGAGGCATAGATCTCGATCAATGCACCTGGCAGCAGGACATGCAGGATGGCGGGCGGTGGTTCTATATCGATCTGGGCTGCTCGGGTTCCAAAAACGCTCCAATGGAATGAAGCATGAATTCTCTTGAGACCTGTTACAATTGCTTTGCATAAAAAAACAAGTTGGAGACCACCCCCAAAATGCAATCAGCTCCGCAACTTGGTTTTTGCCTCGATCCAATTCCCCAAAGTTCGCCGATAGATCTAATTTGAAGCACTTGGTACAAAAGCGCGAGTGGGAAATGCCACTGCTAGTGATGCACACACAACGGTTATTCCCCTGGCCCAATGCCGTTCAGTGATCACGCATACCTTCTAAAGAGCGAGGTAAAAAGAATCCTCTATGCAATGTTGACCAACATGATTTCTTCAAGAAACATATAATTATATAATCTACAACTCAATGCTTGCTAGGTTGTTGCTGCGCACCGGGTTCTAAAGGGGATTGCCGCTGTTAACATATAACCCCCAAAACCACTCATGTGAAACCCCAACAAGGACAGAATTGCAAAATGGACCCATCAAAGAACCCTCACACATGCAATGTAAATAGTCCTCAATTTCAAACGTATTGTTGGGATCCTCAGATGAGTGGATATATAGACTTGGCATCTAAATCAACCTGACTCAGCTGGCTTGTGCTCAGCAACAGCAGCCACGTGCGAGGACTTGAGGCGATCAGCATAGCCCCGCATGTGATCCCCGACTGGATCAGGCCGGCCCATCCTCTCCCATTCCTTGACCTTGGCGGGTGGGCGATTGGGGTGAATGAGCTGTTTTGGAAACAAGAGTAGTTTCCATCTTGAAAAAACATTGTTGAATAAAACAAGTTTTGGATTCCAGTTCAAACATTGAGACGGGAATGGTGAAGCTGTTCAGTGCTGGCACCAGTGCACAAGAGTATGGCCAAGGCCAAGTATTTATATACACTTCTTGCAATCTAGAAGCCCAAAGCGCACCCAAAGTCATGTTGGAATAGGGGCATGTCGTTGGGCAGGAGAAGTAGGTCACGTGCGCTTTCCCCTCACCCTTTGCCTTGCGGCAAGTGAAGAACTTCCTGTCCACTTTGACCCCGCAAGCCATGCGAGTCTTGTATGGCTGAACATCAACATTGTCACACTTGATCCTGCTGAAATCTGGGTGCGTGCAGTGCGTGCGATCGCACTCCTTGAGGATCAGAGCAACCTCGTCCTTGCACTCTGGATCGGGTGCAATGCTCTCAGCAGCTCTCTTGGTGGTTTTGGTCCTTGGCTGGTCATGCTGCTGGGAAGGCTCCTTGGGGCCTTTCTTTCTTTCCTTTTCCTTCTTTGGCTTCTTGCCCTTTGGGGCCTTTGGCGCACTGGTTTCCTTTTTCTCATGCTTCGCCTTTGCCTTGGGCTTAGACTTTGCTGCAGTCTTCCTGCCTGGCTTTGGTGCCTCCGCCTCGGCCTTTGGCTCCACCTCTTTCGTCGAGGCTTCTTTCAACTCAGTCTGCGCCTCCTTGGCCGACTCCTTGGTTGCAGCCCGCTTTCCATTCTTGGCCCTCTTTGCCATCTTCTTCGGATCCGGAGTCGTCTTTCCATCCACCTCATGGGTCTGCTCAGATGCCCTGTGTTCGTCAATCTCTCCATCTTCAGCACCCGAAGCTGAAGGGGCTTGAGGATTTGTCTTGCTAGCCATCCTTTTCAATCGCCGCATCTTGCGGCTGCTTGCTGCCGTACCTTCCCAGGAGGAGGATGCCCTCGCACCCTTTGTTGGTTTCTTGGCTTTCTTTGCCCATGGCTCAGCTTTTTCGGCCGCTGTGCGACCCCGCTTTTTGGGTGAAGCCTTCTTTGCCTTTTTCTTCTCTATGGTGCTTTTCTCTTTCTCTGCCTTCTTCTGCGCTTTCACTGCCTTCTTCGCTTCTGCTTCGGCTTTCTTGACCGCTTTCTTCGCTCCTTTTTCATCCGGAATTGCTTCCGCCGGGTGATGACCTCGTGCTCTGGGATCTCGATGCCATTTGAACCAGTTGCTTTCACCTGGAGAGAGATCACTCAGTTTGGGGTTATGTCTTTTGGAACGGGTGCTGAACCTAACATATTAAACCATTGGTTGATGCGACCAAGATTATCACTTGTTTTCAGACCCGTACCTGTTCCTCCACTGATTTGTCATGAGCATCCAAATCCCTCAAAGTTTTAGCAGCCACATCCGTGTGTTTCAGTTGATCCGGCGAGCAAGGCAAATAGGTGTCGTCTAAATGAGTAGCTGCAGGAAGCACGGAATCGGAGAGCACCATCATGGATTTGGTTTGCTCCACAGAGGGGGCTGAACCTGACTTGATGACTGTTGAGGCAATCAACATTTGTTGGTCACAAGATGTCGCTGACTAACTCTATCCCCTTACAAAGTCTGACCTGTGGAGACAAGAGTATACTGATGATACATTCGACAAGGAACCCTCCATCGCACTTGTTGATGGTGCTTCTTCTTGAATTGGCTGTTCATCCGACTGGTGTTGAGCATGCTGGTTTCGCCTCAGACTGAGCAGTGAGCTGGGTCACATATCCAACTCTTGAGTTCGACCGTCTAAATATATGGACTTGGTGTGTTGCCAAAACATTCTACAAATAGAAAACTTATCAGCATATATGGACCAAGCACTTTTGGATGTCCATCATCGCTTGGATGACCAGGTTCAGGTCAATCTTAGAAAGGTCAAGTCCTGCACAACTGGTTGCAGCCGAGTTGTCCTCCTCATCGGACGAGATTGCAAGCACCTCATCCTGAAAGGGTTGAGGAATTAAAGTTGAATTCCATTTCTATTCACATGAGACCTTCCAGTGATTGGATGCAACCAGTTTCAGGAAAAACCAAAGATATCCATCAGAGTGACCCCAAGTCATCATCCTGTTTTGTCACATGTGTCAATCTGCGGTCCTCACTGGTCTTCACTGACACATTGGGGCCACTAATCGAAGGCGTTTCCACAAATGATGGGGTAGAGGCTGCTGCAGCCCGACATGGAGTAGGCAACGGTGCGGCATGCCCAGAATCCTCGTCCTTTGCTGCGGCCTCATGCACAGGCCTAGCTTCAGCGATGGCTGGCTCCTCAGCCATAGCCTTATCCTTTGGTGGACTTGGCGGCTCTGCGGGGGGGTGGCAAAGGAATTTCAGGGAGTTCACTATCATTCAGCTCTTCGAACCTTGCATTCAATTCCTGGTCAATAACACTGTCCGGGAACATGGGTTGCCCAAGGCATTCTTTGTCGAAGGTGTAATTCTCATGTGCGACATCAGCCTCATTGTCTTGGCTGTCTTGGCTATCATGACCAGGAGCACGTCCAGACAGCGGCGTCCAATCCTGGCAAGCAATGGTATAGGGTGTACTTTGGGCCCAAAAACTTTTGTTCTGGCGGGGTGGATAAGAGGCAAACATTTAGGCATCACAGCGTGATAAGGGAGGCGGTGTATGGTGGTGTGAGATCAGGTTTTGGAGCTCTATACCTGCAAAGCTTCGGATATGTTCAATCACACTGTGTGAATCGGTCAAAGCCCATCCACATTTTGGAAACAATCCATGGATCCATCTTGAAGAACACTCTTGCAGATCAGAACACAACAGGGTTGGTCCAGGAAATAGCTACATGACAAAGATTGAAGTTAATTATGGGTACTATATGATTGCATATTGCATATGTTGTTTTTACCAGGCTACAAAAAAGGATATACCCAACCCGAATGTGCCTCAGCATCAAAGCCCAAGGCTGCCACAAGCTCTTTGATGGTCTCATCCTGAATGGACGGAGGAGATCCGCGAGTATCAGAAAGGGAAACCAAAGTCATTCCCATAAGATGGAAATGTTCAACCATATTATTCATGGCAACCATTCATGGCATAGATTTGAACATATAACATATGTCTGTTTGAGCGAATTCAGTTGGCATGTCACTATACCAGTCCTGTGGGGCGGAGCTGCGGTAGATGAACTTCTTGGTCTTACCGATGAGACGTCTGATGGACCAGGCTTCCTGGTACACTTGGTCAGTGGACCTAGCAACTTTGGACAGCTGATAGAAAGTTTCGATTGCTGCCAGAAGCATCTCTATGGAGGGTAGCTGAAGTTCATTGTTTCTCATGACCCCAAGGACCGGCAACAGAACTGCCGAATTGAGCTTGCAATTCTCGCACGTTGCCTCGATGAACCCATGAGATTCAACCTCCCTTGTGCTAGGGTTCCATCTGAGCAATAGGTTCTTGTTCTCGCGAATCCGGTCCCTGATGACATGCGAGTCATCCCAAGCAGCTGGTACTTGGTCCAAGGCATACGACCCCACAACACTCTTCGGGGAAGCCAGATCCCGTGGTGAGCTGGCTTTGCTCTCACCACCCCCATCATTTGGAAGGGCTGCCGACCTGATGCAAAGGGCCTTGGGTTTGGCCATTTGGGGCTTTCAATGAAATGCCAGAGCCCAATGGTCTGCGCAGGACAAGCAAGTGAGCGCCAATGCCTGATGCTGTGAGCGCCAGTTGATTCTTTAAGTGGATTGGGTGATTTGTAACACGCCATGAACGGCATGCGGCATGCACTCAAAATAATTCACTTCCCAATCTTAGATTGCAATGATTGTGTGAATCAATCTGGACTCTTCTAAGCAATTGCAGGTTGGAATTCAATCAGGGAACCAAAGGGCAGCAAACAGGCCAGCAGCGCAAGTTGCACTGTTACAGCCAACATCCCCATCCACCATTGCTGTTTGCAATGGTTCCCCAAATGCAGGATTGAATTAGGCTCAAAGAACCCTTTTTGTTGTCACTCAAGCTCATGCTGAGCTCATAGCGTGCCAGCTGATACATGCGTTCCACAATCCAGGGGTTGAACATGGTTGAACAATTGAAGCAAAGTTGAGGCCCATTGGAACTCAACACAGGTATTGTCAACCCTTAGGTTTGCCTGGCCTATGCATCCTATTGTGTTCCAATTGGTCCATCAAGTTCACTGCCGGCAGTGGCAACGACTGAGCCATGCTTGCATGAAGAAAAACACAGCAGGTTTGGTGCAGTGGATGGGGTGGGGATTGGACCCTTTTGCTTGTTTTGAAGGTGGCTGAAGCGGAGGCCACAATGGTTTCCGATATATAAGTGGCACAATCCTTGTTGGAATTTTGGTTGGTTCTGGAAAATCCAGAATATGAGTCACAATACTGGTCATCAACCATGAAATAAGGGTCGTTTTCAGGCCCACGGATATTCACGTCCCGGACAACTATTCCTGCCCATCTTGCTAAAAGAAGGCTTTTGATCATTTGGACAACAATTTGTAGTTATCCAGTGCAGCAGGTACTTTAGCTGCACCACTACACGAATTTGCTGTGTCTGATGTTTCGGAACAAACAGCCAACTGCCCAAAAGCTGCACTTGTTGCTCTTCACCGCCCGTTCACCGCCCGAAATCACGCACTCTGAAGAAGCCACCAGCGTCTGGCGTCTGACCGCCGCACTCGGCCTTGTGCGGTGCCTAGCTGGCTGGGTCGCCCTCACCGGTTGAGGTCATTGGGGTCGACGTAGAGCTTCTCGGCCTGGAGAAGCAAAGGGGGAAACCGAAAAAAAACTTGCCATTGCGCCGGAGCAAAGTTGCCCTGTTTTTCAGATCAAGAGCAAGAGCAATCCAGAACTATAGGGAATGTTGATATACGGAACTACAAGTAGATGGAAGATCCAGAGTTGGGATACACAACCCCCAACTGAGTTGTTTTTGTCAAGACTCCTGCACATGGTCGTACGTGTTCATCCTCCCTAGACGAATGGAACACTCATATGAGTGAGTGATGAACCAACTCTCTGGCGGCTGAGGGATGCCCAGCACATTGGTCAGAGGAGAGGACGTCCCGGCTTACCTCTTTCCCTTGTGGGCCAGTCGCGGTGGACCCAAAGCATAGATTCTGTCCAATCCTCATAGCGAAACAGAAGTAGCCAAGGTGGCTGATGGATGTCTTGGCCAAACACCGTGATCCGGGCGCGACAGAACTCGGACTGGCTTTGTGCGGACTGGAATACGGCATGTTCAACGTCTGTTCAACACATCTCCTCTCTCGATTCATCCTCTTCGGAACAAATCTGAACCGCCATGGCCCGTTGCAAATAATGTGTTTCTGTCGGGATTGAACCAAGCCCATCTTGCCAATCTTGAACCGAGCATGCGGTGCTTGCGCGGTGCGGCAGCGCGGAGTGCGGAGCGTGCCTCGCAGAAGCAGTGCCCGCAGCTCGGTTTCTTCTGCGGAGAGCAGGTGCTGGCCTTCAAGGTCAGGGGTTCAACCCGGATTGGCTGTGGAACAGAAGTGCAAACCATGCCCGCAGATCAGCTTGGATAGGAACTGGCAGGATGCTATGCGGGATATCGTGCCAAGCCCATGTCCGCGGTCGCAAACAGCCCTCTGTTGATGTCAGAACACCGCAGCTTTGAATGGTAGCTCTGCATATCACAGAGACAGGGAAGCTGGCCCGGGCATTCCTACAGTAGATATAGAGTGCCCCACGGGGAAAACTCTCCGTGTGCAAGGCCAGTATATTCAAGAAGCAAACCACAATCCACACAAACATTCAGCCTCATGTCAACTTCTCCTCGAAATCACACACTCCCCACAAAAGCCTGTTAACGTGACGTCCGGTGTACTTCATTCCCATGGCACCTGGCTATCGACTTGACGAGCCTCCGTTGGGACGCACTTTCACGGTCACGCGGTTCCGGGGGTCCGGACCGTCGATTCCAAGGAAGCCGGGGCCTGGAGAAGAAGAGCCGAAGAGCCATCGACCAAAACATCTCAGGTCGTCTGACATGTCGTCTGACATGTCGTCGTGCCAGATCTGTGCCCACCTTCCGTCAGCTGACATGTCTGGAGAATATGTCCCCTATGGATCCACATACCTTCTCAGAAGGTACTTGGACCCTCCTGGCGCCCACATAAATAGTCTCCAAATACCTTCTGAGGAGGTACGACTGGATCCATAGGGGTCAACAAAAACCGAGGAGAACACGTCCACCTCTCTAGGATGATCGCAGTGAATCTTCCAAGGGTGGGGGCCACCGCCTCCTCCGTCAAGCGCGGAACACAGGTCGCAAGCTGACTTATGGGCCTTAAGTGGCTTTATGAACACCTGAAAGCTTGACAAACAGGTTACAAGAGCGGATATAGGTGCCCGATGGTGCCCGCGATTTGGACTCTTGTCATCACACTTGCCAATGACCTTCGCTGAAACGTGGCATCTCTTTTAGAAGCTGAGTAGTCCTCAGCATCTATCCCTTGAATGGTCCGTTCAAACAGTCAACGCAAAGAACGATCTTCAGAGTTTTCAGAAACAGCATCTGCACTTTGTAGCTTATAGACTTACAGGGTCTCTGACCCCTGAGAGCTCAAAGTCAGAAAACATGTCCAATGACTTCCAATCACTAATGCATTAGTTTCCTTCTAATGATTCTCAATGAATAGACTCAGAAATGAAGAACACCATATAACCACAGCATGGCAATTGGGACTGCCCAGTACATGTCTTTGAAACACCTCTTCCTTCGGTCCACTGGGGGGGGTTGGAGTCTCAGATCCGCTTTGGCCCCACCGTCCACCGTGGGGGCCTCTGCCTCCGGCGGCTTGGCCTCCTCGGGCGTCGTTTCGGGCGCCGTCTCCGGCGCCGCATCTGCCTGCCGTCTCGGGGGCCGAAGGGAGGCTCGGTGGTTTCCACAGGGTGCAGAAGTTTCGGTGTGTTCCTAGGTGGGTTTCCGCGGGTGATAATAACATATGATTCTTAGCAAACCTGACGACTTGTTGGATATGACTTCTTTGGTGTTCTCTTAGGTGGTTTCCACGAGTATGAGATCACTTCTTAGCAAACCTGACTTCTTGGATATCACATGGTTCGATGGTTTCGATGGTATGCTCCTTCTGATTCTGTCACTAACAGAACTCTTTCAGGTGGAAAAAGATGGAGGTCAAGCAAAGCAGTGGGAGGTTTGACATCCTTCCATCTACTTTCCTTGCCCATGTTTACTCTGGGTATACAGCAGGCCTTCTCTAAAGAGCACATGATGGCACATGATTGGCGGGTCGTGTAGATTGATTTGACGGATCAATTCCACAGAAACAAAACAAACGTCTATCTAGGGAACCCATCTCAAAACCTTTGTCTTCCCTCCAAAAGCGCTAGCAAAATGACCAAAACAACACAATGCCTGGAGCAAAAATGACCCAAAATGCGGAGAGACCTGGGAGATGTCTCTCCCTTCAAGATCCTGAAACACGAACCACTCCGGCCTCATGCCGGCCGAGCCCGCCCCGAGGAAAACACCAGTCCACCACTCGACAACCACTCGTCCAATCCCCGAAACCTCTGCATCATGCACGACAATGCCTGGCAGATCTACCTGGAAGTTCGAACAATCTTCGATGAAAGACATCCTGGTGTTACTTCATGGTACTTCATGGTAACTCAAAGGGTCCAGGATCATCTGTTAAGAGTTCACATGAAGCATGCACTCGAGATTGGAAAAATGAGCTGTTGCAAACCCGTTTTCACTTCACATTCAAACGTCCTCAGAAAATAGGTGTGTTTTCCATCTGGGCGCTGTCTGTGGCAACTGCTTAGTTTGTGGAATCTCATCCCTTTCTAGGCTGTCACAAATGAAAATGCTCAGGTCCAGCCCCAAAACTGGAGTGTCATTTTCAGCGGCCGCCTGGACTTTGCTCACCTCCTCCTGGTCTGGATCTTTTGGGAAGAGCTGAGGTGTGAGACAATGCGAACCGATCGAGATGGATGGGTTGATCCGATAACCTAGTCGAATCAGAGCTTGATTCATGTCTTGGGAATACCTTGAATCAGTGAGTCCTGACGAAGTCTGTCATATTAGTATATATGTTCATCCATATGGGCTCAATAGTCAAGGGGCCTATCTTGGTCGATATAGTGTCATATGATGTTGTCTCATGAGATGGTGATTGTGATGCGTCTGAAGACTAACTATGAACTATAAACTTGTTCCATGCTACACCTTCTGTTTCAAGCAGGTGGGAGCACCTGATCTTCCAACAAATCAAATGTGTTCATGTCGATTGCCCTGTTGTACAGCCTCCTACTGTATACCAGAGCTTCCAAAGAGGTGTCCAATTGGAGAACTCCTAAGCCATTTACACCAAATGGTTCCGATGTTGTACACGGCCTGTTTTGAAAACAACTACAGAAACCCAGCTGCTTCGAACTCTCCCCGGTCGATATCGAACTGCTCGGCTCCTCAGACTTCTCTTCTTCCGACGTCTGTCCGCCTCCATCGACGGAGGACATCGCCCCGACATCGGCCCGACATCGGGGCGATGGGGAGGGAGAAGTCGGAGCTGCGTAAAGACCGGTGGAATACCATAAGTATCAATTCTATTGGCTGATAAGTGATGGGTGTGCGGATGTTTGTGATGCATCTATGAGGATTCCCCATGGGAGTCAACAAGTCAATGCACACCGAAGTGAAACGCCCTTTCTGCCCCCCCACGCGATCCAAACCAGGCGGCCGGTCAACCCGCAACACCTGCAGGTGTGTCCGGCAAAGGTGCCGATGCCTCTGCTCCGGCCTCAAGAGTGCACGTCATCTGTGCTGTCAGCAGTTTCAGGTTCTACCATGAAGTCTTGTCGGAGCTGATTTTCATCTGTTCAACATTGTTCAACCATGTTCAACCCGTCTGGTCGATGTTGCTTGCTTCAGAGTACTTGGGGGTTCGCTTCGTCTTTTCGAAACGCAAAAGAAGGTGCAAGAAAGCAACATGTCAACTGTCACCATTCCAACCTATCACACCAACGTACACAACATACGTACGTCAAACCTCTGGAATCTCTTGGGCTCCAAACCCTCTTCTCACCAGGCGGTTGGCCTGCCACAACTGCCTGGGCACGGAAAACATCAGCCTGTCCTGTCCTTCAGCGACGTGGTGCGGCCACTTCGTGGTGCGGTCACTTCGAGCAGGTCACTTCGTCAGGTAGCAGCCTTTGGTTGATGCTAACTTCGACCAGGAGAGTGCTAAAACTTGTTGCTGAACGAAAGAGGGTGTAGAATACCCCACGCCTCCCCACACCACTCTGAAGTTTGGAAAATTCATCCCTCCCGCCGGTGGCAGGAATTCTTCGACCTCCACCGGTTCGGGCCCGTTGGTCTCGTGTCTACAGTCGATCTCTGAATCAAGACCTCGTTGAGACTCAGCTATAGTTGAGAGTTGGTCGTGAGACTCAGCTGACTGAGTCGGTCCAAGACACAGCTGATCTATGCTGATCTCGTGACAGCAACCATCGTGGCCAAGAGTTGGTCAGATCATCCAGGTCTTCGCACCATCAGGTGCCCAGGATGGATTGAACCGACGGGTGCCATGGTGTGATGGTCCAAACGACGATGCTACGAGTGCGGTGAATGTGTGTTCCCTAAAGGGATCGGAGCTGGAGATTGGGTGAATGTGTAAGAAAGGTCCTGGTACCTTCCAAAAGCACTTGTGAGTTTTGTCATTCAAAAACGCCCATGTTTGTGAATGAATCTCATCCAAAAAAAGGCAAGGATTAAGTTCTCAGTCTAGAGTCTAGTTCAAACTCGATGATACACATCCATTCTCTCAGACCTTAACTATTTCTCACAACTGTCCCATCTCAAAACCCCTCCAACACCAACGCGGCGCCTCGCAGCTTTCGAGGAGTTCACACTTTTCAGCCTTGGCCTCGCTCGGAGACCCGCTCGGTCGAGGAACGCCCGGCGCGCCCGGCCGCCCACGGTGGGACGGATGGGATGGCTGCGTTCGCCCAGTGACTTGGGTGGTGGAAGAAAGGAGAACTTGTGTTGGTTCGGAGAATTCGTGTCGAAAAATCACACCCTCGCTGTGTGCCAATTGGTCACCAACTGCCAAGTTTTAAGTGACCTGGTTCAGTCGGTCGCTGGTGAAAATAATACGGAAGCATTAATAGCCAAAGGACACAAAGCTGCCTGTCATAGAAGAAACATGAAGAAACTCTGCAACACAAAGTTGCTCAACAAGAGCTCAACCCTATCGGGGCAAAAGCTACACCCGTGCTGCGCCTATGTCTAGTGGAACTCATGAAAACATTGAGTGCACTCGTGAAAAATATGGCTGCTATCTGCTGCTACATGAAAAACATATCCAGATGTCACATGCCTCTCTTGAAGAGTTGTTCATGGTGGGGCCATTGAAATTATCATCTCGCTCCCTGTTCACGATGCTTTCCGTGGCTCCACATGTTTGCCCAGCCTGCGGGCGGCTATGCGTGGGCTCCACTGGTGGCTCCACTGGTGGCTCCGCCTGCGGCTCTGCCTGACAACAAAGCCAAGCTGGTTCGGAACCAGGAAAGTTTGGACTTCGGATGGACTGGCCAGAGCTTATTCTCTACCCAAAACCCGAAATAAACCACTGACCACCCTACCCAAAACCATCATGCCTCAGGCTTGACCACTCTACCCAGAGAGTTTTGGCTTCATCTTGACCACTCTACCCATTACCTTCGGCTCCAGCTCTGGTGCGCATCTGGAAGCGGCCAAGATCCAAACGGTTTTTTTTTCAACCAAGATCCTGAAGGGCAGCTTGTGGAATCACTATAGGCTCCAGGGAAGATCCTTCGGCATCCTGCAACAACGTCTTCTTATGCAAATACATAACAAAACCATCATGGCTTCATCCCTCACGGCATCGCGCCATCTCGTGCCCCAAAACCCGCGGATCAGATCTGCGCCTCGGGCTGGTTCACACCGCCGGCCTACGGATCTGACATCCGTCGTGGAGCACAGCGGCTGGTCGGGCCCTGATGATTGATTCATCGATTCCTTGATTGCCCAGATCGGACATCTCATGGGTTTTTTGGAGGTGACAGCATGGCTGAATTGAGAATTGATGTTATATAAACATGAGGTCTAGGGAATCCGATCCCTCCAAAACAGCTTGTAGCAGTTCCTGGGGGATCTCCCCTCCAACAACGCCTAACATGCTCTTAAATGCAAATGCATGGAAGGGAATTTGCTGCTGACTGTGTGCCATCCACTAGGCACCGGCAGCGATTTGCAAATGGATCCATGTGAACGGTGATTTCCAAGATCGTGAGACCCGAGCCATCTACCAGCCGACATGTCGGACATGTTTGATGCCGGACATTGTTTGCTCGCCATGCCATGCACACCTACACCAAGCTTTTTTTCATGCCATAGATACCCTATCACTAAAGATTCCAGCCAACGTTTCCGTCAGTCGCCCAGTGATATACTGTAACAGTTGTCATTATCTGTTGGCCTTCCAACCGTGAGTTGTTTCAATCGGTTTTGCGGTGCGTGAGTCGTTTTAATGGCATTTTGTAGTCTTAGCTTAGATGGCTCATTTCATTTCGCATTAGCGAGGCCTCTTGGCTTTTTGGTGTGTTGCGCCAGTTGCGCCATCTAGTTTAATTTAGTTTAATGATTCCCTGTTTTAGACCTGTGAGTTATGCCACCTAATCCTTGCTACTTTCTCGTTTTTCGTTGGAGTTGCGCCGTCCATTTTCATCTTGGTGTATCTCGGGAAGATACCCCAAGGGCTTGATCCACAAAAACGTCTCAAGGTAAAAGAAGGATGATTACACTCCCTGGAACTAACATGGTTACGTGGATTGCATGGCCCCGAGTTCGGAAGACCATGAAATGAAACTAAAAACAGATGGTGAACTCCACTTCCACGTGAGGATGCTTATGTTGCAAAGTAGGCTTCACGAAACCAGGCAGCTTCGCAGCGCTACACGTGTCCCATGGGTTCGTGAAGCTTACCCATCTACGTCGTTCGGGAAACAGGGACGAAACAGGTGTCGTTCGCCACCGGATTTTGTTTTCTTTCCCTTCCCAGGACAGCTCCTTCAACTGCTCTTCCAGTGCTGCTTTGCTCTGTTGGCTCTCCTCCATCAAGACATGTCGTTTGTACAAGGAAAATGTCAACACTCACTGCTGCGATGATTTTGGAAGAATGGCGCACTGATCCCCTGGTGTCGGTTTCTGAGCAAAAATATCAAGAGATCACCAAAGAGACCCTCAGCCACCCTATAGACAAAGAGCCTAGCGATGCCATCATTCCGGGCCGATCAGATCCCACTCCGACTGACTTAGTTGAGTGATCGTGGCGATGCAAATGGCGCCTGTTGACTAAGTGTGTTTGTCACGGGGTGTTCCAAGTTCCACGTGCTTTTCGGCATGATCCGTTCCACCGGCTCCTTGAGCTCCTTCTGCAATCTTTCCACCTGCCCCGTCCAGGACGCCAGATGTCAGTGCAGCAAATAGGGTGTTGATGCTGTGCGTGATGCAGTGAGATCACAAAAAATCAACAAAGTAATCTCGCTTTAGAAAGAATCTGTTGCATGTTTATGGCTTCGGCATACTGATTCAGGTACCATGTGATAACCATCTTCCAACCAACAATGGCTTCCCCCCCCTCACTGCAGAGTTACCCCAAGCGGGTAATTCCTAAACAATCCATCTCATTCTCCATCTGGATTGGACAAAATCCAGGGTTTGGGTTGGGTCTCAAGGGGAAAAAGCTGGCAGCCATGACCATCCTGAATAGTTTCCTTTCTACCGAGTTTGTCCATTGCCCAGGTGTCCTTCAACTTTGATCATTCACGAATCCCCCACCGACCCTCAAACCAAAACACTGAGCGCTGCCCCGCAAACCCCGCCAAGCTGCAGATTCGAAGCTGGGATTCAGCAACAGCAACCCCCTAAGAAACATATCGAAACTCGTAGAAACTTGATGAGATGCTGAAGACCCACGGCATGATCATTCCACATAGTCCAACAAAAAATACACCTTCCCATCTCTTCCCTATCTTTTGCTATATTTTGATACTTAGCACGTGGGGTGACGGGACCTCCGGGTGCCTCTAACAACGAGGCATCCAAGTGCGACTGCACCGAGCTGGCTCCACAGCCTCGGTTTCGGACCATGTGCCGCCACCGCGCGAGGAGGCGAGGAGGGAGACGTCCCGCTCTGTGTAGCTCGAGCGAGGCGAGGAGACGGAAGACCCCAATAAAAAAACCGATTCGGGAGCTTCCGGCAAAAAGACCCGTCTACCTAGCGAGCCAGAGTGGTTTCACCCAAAGGCCATGGAAGAATGGCCATGGAACACTGGGGTCTTCATTCGTTGTGCCTTCTCCAGGAGTTGAAGTTAAAAAGAAGGTGAAGTCAGGAGTATGTGTGGATATACTTTGGTGGTGATGTTAAAAGCTGATAACTGAGATCTATGCAAGTCATGACTAAACTGCTATCACCAAAGGTGTGGCCACAGCTTGTGAGAGGCGGTCATCGCCACCAATTCTTTCTTTGATAAGCTAAGCACATAAACACGTATGCCCAACTATATCGCGCATTGAACCTTCCTGCACAGAAGTTTTTTTCTGCAAGGGATGCAGTCAGAGATCTATTTCTCAATGACATAAAATGTAGGCTCTTGATTATATAGAACCAGACCCAGACATGGGTAGCTGTTTCACCCCAGACCGGTTGGTTGTGGGGTTCGGGTTCCAGCCACAAAAAAGGGGTGGGGCCGCCCAGAAACCTCTCAGCCCTGTGGCGCCGCACCCATTTGCCTAAGAAGTCGCTGGTGCAGCAACCAACCTTTCGACGGTCACGACGGTCACGACGCGTGAACCGGACTAAGGTTCGGTCGTGTTTCTTCTCAAGGACCGGGGCAGCAATTCAGTGAAGTCTACCAGTTTGAGTGAATCCAAGTTGGACAAAAGAACCCCAGCAAATTCAGATGGTACAGCAACAGTATTGAACAACATCTGTTGAACAGTACAGCTTGCCGAACCCCACCAAATGTAACATCGACATTATTTTAAGTCCAGTTCAAGTGTTCAAGAACATTGAAGAGCATGCAAAACCTTGGATGTCACGAGATCGTTTGGGCCCTTTGCTTCAATGGTGAGTCACAACCCAGTACCCAAGTTGACACTCCCAACACGTGAACCAAGTAGTTTTCTTGGGGTTTGGGCAGCGCCAGCTGAACTCAGCTGAAGCAAATCTCATCCAGACAAATCGGCAAAAATCGGCCGTACCACGAGGTCCAGACTATGCCATGGCGAGAAGCGTCCGAAAAGCAACGGAGTCAAAGAAGGGAAGCACTTACCTAGGAATCTTTGGAGCTGGTACAGGGTCATCGAAGAAGGCAACATAGACAGCTAAGACCTTTGATGTGGGCCTCTGAATGTTGTGTAAACATGTCGCTGTTGTAAAGGTGACCTCTCTCTCTGCCACTTCGTTGGAGTGTCACACTGGCTCATCGCGACTGAATAGTTGAGTCTAAAGGCTCAAGGCTAATTGCCAATCCACCATTATAGAGGCCAAACCGCTACTGCACGATGCTTGTATACATGGTGTCTAGCCACGCCATAGGTATCCAGAATCCATATCATCTGGGTTGAAAGCCCACGTTTCATGAATTGTTCAGCCCTCTTTCAGCCGCATCTGCGACACTGGAGCCTGAAATAACAAGCAAGCCCAGCAAATGCAACTAAAAGCGCAGGCGTGATTGTGGTGTCTTTCGTTTCAAACAACCGATGTACCGAAACCTTTCATGCAATCCCCATCGATCGTTCGGTCACGTGCAAATATAACAAGGATGGATCAAAGGCAAGACATCTCATGCTGGCTCAGCGGGGTCGCGCGGCAGATTTTCCATCGCCAAATCTGATTTTGTTTGGTGTATGTGCGCTCATGACGGCGGAAACATCAGGTGGACTATGCCTGGAACTCCGACTGGCGTTGTGTTGATCTAATCTAGCTTTTTATGAAAATGAAACCATTATTAAACTGGCAACACGCAGAGATTGAAGAATGTCGAAAGCATAGGAAGCCATCCTGGAGTAGAAAAGAAGCAACAATGAACATGTAGAATCTAGAATGCCAAGTGTCCTGAGGGGCGTACGGGGTTTTAGCACCCAAACGAGGAGCCCTCACTTACGTGGCGCCGAACTGGAATCGTTTTAGCTTCCAGCTGGAGTTCAAAGAAAAGATTGGTTCCTTTTGACAGGACTTCAACACCTTTTTCTGGATTTTGTTTGTTGGGTAACTGCGAAAAAAATGCGAAAAGTGAATTCGACTGGATAAAGAGGAAAACAAAAAACATGCCCAAAACCACTAAGTGTTTGCCATTTAAAAAACGTGCTTTTGACTCTAGGGGAGCGGAAGGGAGCCCTGCATCAAACCAGATACAGCCTGGACCATGCATCGTTAAACTACAGTAATCACTTCTCACTGCCTCACAATATTTTACAGCGGCAGGCAGGATGCTTAATGCAACTGGACAGTACACCTCCTTCTGGCAGCATCAGCCTATGTTGGGCCTACTTTCAACATCTCAGTCATTCATGCAGGCACCAGTAGGCATCTCCCCCGCAACCGGTTTCCGCACCTCAGCCGGTGGCGTGTTTTCGTCGGAAGCGCTCCAGATTTCTGCGGCTGGTACGCGTCTCCTTGTGATCAGGGCCATGGAGCTCCTGCACGGCTCTCGGTGAATGGTCTGGAGCCGGGTCCAGCTGACAGGAGAAGTGAATCGAAGTCTCATGAACAATGAACAAGCATTTTTTACATCCTTTTTCACCCTGTCCCACAGACTGACCTCAAACGTGGTTCATAACTAGAATGGTGGCGGGAGACTGCGTGAGGTGTTGACTGAAGCTTCATGTCTTCATTTGCGATGTTTCTGGAATGCCCAATGTCAATCTTTATCTGCTGCCGAACGCGCCGATCTCCCATCCAGTTTTCCAAGATCTTCAACTATCGGACTGGCCTCCATGCCCTTCAACTCTCTGAGATAGAGCTCTTCCGCCTGGACAAACCGACCCAAAGTGACTGGCCACTGCTCTTCTTCTCTTCGGTGTTCATGAGTTCCTCTCTGCAGAAACCCTATGAAATACATTCAAAGACAGGAGTTCACTATTTGTTGACGAATCAACTAAAATACCTAAAGTCAGAACAGCTGGCTCCACCAAGGCATGGCAAAGACCTCTCCAAAGAAGCATATCTTAATGGATTCCCACCACTTCCCTCCGAGTTCCTTCCGGCCAGGACCACCGACCTCAACCTCCGCGGCTCGGCGAAGCGCAGCTCTCCCGAGCTGCGAGCGAAGCGATCGCGAAGCGACTCCGCGCCTCGGCGAGGGGGCCGCCCTTGGCGTCTAAAAGCTTCGCGAGATTGAAGACGGAGTCCAGGGTGGCCAGATGATGGGCTCCAAGCTGCGTGTCGCGGCCTTCCAAAGCTCTCCTGCAAAGCGGCTCGGCCTCTTCCAGCTTGCCCTGCTTCCGGAGCAACAACGCAAGGTTGTGAACGGCAGTCAAAGTGCTTGGATGATTAGCTCCGAGCTGCGCCTCAAAACCTCCTAAAGCTCTCCTGCAAAGCGGTTCGGCATCCTCCAGCTTCGCCTGAGTCTTCAGCAACAACCCGAGGTTATTGACAGATTGCAGGGTATCAGGATGATGGGCTCCAAGTTGACTTTCACGTCCCTCTAAAGCTCTCCTATACAGTGGTTCAGCCTCCTCGAGCTTTCCCTGATTCTGTAGCAACCCTGCAAGGTTGTTCACAAAGATCATTGTTTCAGGGTGCATTACCCCGAGCTGTGCCTCACTTTCTGCTAAAGCTCTCCTGTAAAAAGCTTCGGCCTCCTCAAGTCTCCCCTGCTTCTCTAGTAACACTGCAAGGTTGTTGACAGATTGCAGGGTGGCCGGATGATTGACTCCCAGCTGCGTCTCACGTCCTTCTAACGCTCTCCTGCAAAGCGGCTCAGCCTCTACCAGCTTGCCCTGCTTCTCTAGCAACAACGCAAGGTTGTTAACCGATGTCAATGTGTCCGGATGCATTACCCCCAGCTGCGTCTCGCATCCTGCCAAATCTCTTCGATAAAGCGGCTCAGCCTCTTCGAGCTTCCCCTGGTTCTGTAGCAGCAACCCAAGGTTGTTCACTGACGTCAATGTGTCAGCATGATTGGCCCCGAGCTGCGCCGCACGTCCTTCTAACGCTCTCTTGAAAAGCGGTTCAGCCTCTCTTAGCTTCCCCTCCCACATCAAGACTAACCCAAGAATGTTGACCGACTCCAAAGTCAACACATGCAGCACACCCAGCTTTCTCTCACGTCCCTTCAAAAGTCTTCTAGACAAGGTCTCGGCCTCTGCCAGCTTCCCTGCGTCCAGCAACATCTCTGCAAGATGGTACACCTCCATGAGGATCTCCAGATCCTCGTCGCCGTGCCGCGCTTCGTAGCTCGCCAGCACTCGCCGCTGCAGCGGCTCCGCCTCGGCGTAGTCGCCGCGCCGCGCCAGCACCGTGGCCAGCCTCGGGGCGCCGCGGGGGCCCCGCGCAGGGCGCCACCGGGCCGAAGTCTTGGAGTCCAAAGCCATATTTTTGGAAAAAGATGGGCGAGTTCACAGGTGAAGTTGGAGTGAAGAGGATTCTCGTGAGTTACTCTTTTCTTCGATGTGGTTGGATTGAGTGGAAATCCACTATGTGAGCGACCGGTGAATCGACCCGAGGGCCCCCGGCCGGCTCGAGGCCTTCAGCGTGTCGGAATGCTCCAAGCCCAGGCGCTCCGCCAGCGCCTCGGCGCGGCAGCGGAGCCTGAGGCGCCACACCACGACGGGGAGTTCGGGAGTTCGTTTCGATCTCTTCCGTCGCTTTCGACGCAACGTAGTTTGGGCGACGGGCCCAGAGAGAATCCATCCCATGTTGATCCATTTTGGGGTGAGATGTGCATGATGTTCGGGACATTCCCGTCTTTTAGGACACTCAAGGACTCAAGGACATCCTTGAGTGTCAAAGGAGTGTCCGGATTTCCGTGTCTGATTCAAATAGCGCATGTCTGGCGACCCCAATGGTCTTTTATGCCAAGGATTCTGAAAGAGGGTGCACTTATTTCTTGGGGTCGGGTTCTCACAATCTGCATGAGAAAAAAATAGAAAAAAACATGCTGGAGATAGTGTGGGTTACTGGATATTGGGTGGTTGGGCTTCGAAGGCCAAAGGTGAAACTTGGTGTAAGATGTTGTAAGGTATAGTTCTCCAGCCCAATGCCAGTGTCGGGTTTCAGGACCAGGAATTGGAGAGTCTGGCTGGCACGAATTCGAAACTATGATAAACTATGCGTCGAAAGGTCGCGTTGGGCGCATTGGTCGCATTGAGTCGGCAAATTCTGCAACTATCTGTAACTTCAGGCACAGACAAGGCAAATCTAGCAAATCCAGAATTCAGCTACAGGAAACTTCCTGGCTTGAAAAACTTATATACAGTATTCATAGTATAGAAAGACGCTGCAAATGGCTGTCAAGGAAACTTCTCTAGGGCCATGTGCAATATTGAGGTTCACTTTTACTCACCTTTTACAAGGAGTGCCTTGAAGCATTCTGATCCCTGAGTGTTACATGCATTACACGTTGGCAAGCTGAATGACTTGTTTCTCATGGCAAACAAGCGTCGATTCCACCAGAACTGCGCTGGCGTTTCCAATTTCCTCCTCCCTCTCTGCTCGGATGACGATGCATTGTCGCGGTGGCATACCATCTTCGTTGAGCAGCTTTCCAGCTAAGTTCCTGAGGCAGAACTTCCAGGTAATTTTGAGGTGATCAAAGTACCAAGTCAGGCATGCAGTCACACCATGTCACACCTGGTCATCTAGTAGATGCAAACTAGGTGTCCGGCACACCAACGGGCTTCCCCTGTGAACAAGGAAATAGGAAGCACAAAAAACAAAGGTCGTGCACCTTTCCAACAAACCTGAGACAGCCATGTCCACAACTAGCTACCAAAGACGTACAGTACACATTGCAGTATGGAGTCCGCCTGCTCAACCATTTCAGGTGTTTGTTTCTTGGACACATCATAGGCAATGGATGCGTCGACCAATATAGGTATACAGAAGGCAACCCGCGAGCTGTAATCCTCCGTCAGGAAATGTCAAGGGTGCACGTATCCCACAAAAGGTCTCCTATTGACTGTCCTCTGAGTCTTCTGGTTCAATAGACTGGCAACAGAATTAAAACGAAGATCACCAAGGAAACCACAGCTCTCCTCCACAGCTGCCTCACAACCTTTCAACTCGATGTCCCTCTTGAGCATATTGCGGTAGTTGTTGTCGATGAGTGCTTCGATGTTGGGCCACTCGTCTGGGGATTTCTGCACGGAGTAAACTCCTGGCCAGTGCCACTCTCGCACAGTGCACCCTCCAAAGTTCCTTCTCAGCATTTGAGTTTGCACACACAGTGAGAATATATAAACTTTCTCTGCAAGTAGCCAGTCTTGCCTTTACCCCACCAGGCGTTGGCCTTCTCACCAGTCGTTATCAAAGAAGCCTGTGGATATGCAAATAACCGGAGCTGACTAAGCGGGATTGCATTGAATGCAAGCGATTGACCTTTGCATGCAACTCTTAGAATAGAATGCTGAGGGCATCGCGAAGACTTCCACCACTGACTTTGCTGGATCTGTGATGTTTCTAAAGCCAAGCTCAGTGGTGTAGTGAAAAAAGCACTGCACATCACTGGCATCACTGGCTTGAGTGAGGTCAAGGACATCCTGCCAAACCTGAGAGAAACTCCTGCAGTTGCCCAGCTCAGTGAAACCGTGTCTCAAAGCTCGGATCAGATGCCAAACGAAAAGCGTGGCTCCTGAATTTGTCCGAGGTGCCTTCACACCCAGTCGGGTGTGGACCCAGCACCAGTCTTTGGCATCATGCCGGTAGTCTTTGTGATCGAAAACAAGGCCTTGCTTATAGCCCTTCTCAAAGTACTCTTTGAGGCTAGCCTGGGGCGGAGTATGGCAGTGTAGTGAGACACCTTCGCAAGCATGTCATAAGACTGCGCGGACATCTGCATGGTCTTGGTTCGAATGACTTGAAAGCCCAGAGAGTTTGGGATGGAATATCGAAAGCCCACGGAGTTTGGGAGTACAGAGTACAGAGTAGTGAGTAGTGTCACCCTTGACAAACATGCAAGCACCCAGTGCTGGAATTGTGATTCGGACAATTTGGAAGACAAGACAATGGCAGGTGGACATGCCAATGAGAGACTACAGAGCTTGCTGAGAGGGCGCATCGGCAGGACAAACCAACCGGAGCAACGCCAGAAAGAACGCACGTCGCAAAAATTTTCACAATGAGCCACTCTAAAAATTTGAAGCAACTCCCTATGTCGTATCAGTTGCTCACATGCCATCCAACTGACCATTGCCATTGACAACACCAACGAAGCCTGTGCCGCGACGTCCGGCCTGGAGCAATGAAGCCGGTGTCCTCCTGGCATCCGCTGGTTCGGACCGGGGCGCGGTGCCGAGCAACGCACGGACCTGGTGGACCTTTCGGACATCTTAGGTCCTCATCGAGTTGATTTGTGGAAGAGTCTTGCGAAGGTGTCCCTTAGGACATGGTGTCCTTGATTTTATACGGTCATTTTCTTCTACACATCTTCCAACTTGGTTTTGCACCTTTCCAGGACACTGGACACGTGGTCGCAAGGCAGCCGCAAGGCAGGACTCTTCCTTTAAACATGAAACACAATTCCGGTGAGGTGTTGCCTTTTTTGTGACTTTGTCAGATGGCCAAAATAGATTTCAGCAGAGGGTTTGGTGAACTCTTCCAAATTCCACACAGCACGTGCTCCTCAAACCAGACAGAGACTAGGTTTGTAGAGGAGAAAATGAGGAGTTCGTACACTCTAAAGACTCACATTCTGTGATTTGGACCTCTTCCCGCCCCGTTCGGAGCCGGCGCGGCCGGCCAGGCCGGGTCTCAGCGCAGGCCTCCACAACCAATCGAAGCACCTCCACTGCGGCGTTCGCATGTCTGAAGGGAAGGGGGGGAAGGGGAAGACTCACTTCCGGCCGGGACGACGGCTAGCTCGGACGTCCCAGCAGCACGGCCGGGGACGACCGGTGCAGTGACGCCGGGCATCATCCGGTGGAGCTTCAAGAGACATCCATCAGACTCAGGTGCAAAACGGACAAAAGGGGGACCAAAACGGGACGGACCCTGCCATGGTCGTTTGCAAGGCGGGCTGATGTTCACAGCTCGAATGGCTGGAAAATATCAGGACACGGGGATCCTTGTGCTGCTCTTGTCTGATGCACCACTCTTTTAGTGCAAAAACTGCAGGCCAAACGAGGTACAGATTGTCACTTTCTCAAATTAGTGGGGTGGATATCTTGTACCAAAGTCAACAACTAACCTTAAATCCACACAAAACTGTTCTACCTCGTGGATGTCCACAAGTGGCCTGTTTCACAAGTGGCCTTCTTCTTGGAAGCGGTATGGATTGACGAATCAAAGCATCCGCTATCTATGCTCTATAGCCTATATAGCTGTCTGAGAAGCCAACACACCACATCACATCAGCAAGGTCGGAGATTTACGTCACAAAACCAAAATGTCTATGCTTTCCCCACTTCATCGTGGTTCAATGGCTAATTGCGCCGCTGGTGAAAAGAAGGACATTGTTAATGCCTTGCTTTTCGCTTTGCAGAAAGTACTAGAATGCAAAGACAATGGGCGTTCCAAGCACTCGTCTCGGTCCGCCAGTGAGAACCATTCTCTGTGGGAGATCAATCTAATTTGGAACCCAGCAATGATAAGTGCAAAAACTGTACATGGGCCTCCCAAATTCTTTGTTGAGATTTTGGTGGTAAGATGGTGATAAGGTGATGGTTGCAGTTTCCTCTTAGCATAGTTTTCCACTGTGCGTTCTTCTAAGTTTCTTCTCAAAACCACAAACCAACCGCTACCCTCGTCGACCGCTTTCAGGGACGACGAATCGACGAATCGACGACCCGTTTCGCGCGGCAGAGCGTTTCGCCAGGCGACACCCCGCCCGGCCTGCTGTCGCCTCGATGGGCAAACCGAAACACCCAAATCGTGGTCTTTTCAGCGTCGAGCGCATCGGTCCGTGGCTGTGAGCGTATCGGTTTTTGGTCTAGAACGAAGCCTTTTTCTGACACAGAGTTTCAAGTCCCAAGAAGTCTAAAGTCTGAAAGCATTGCTTCAGAGTTCTGAAGCCTTCTGAAACCATATCCAAGTTTGTAAACGATACAGTGATCTGTGACGAGAAAAAACAATTTCTTGTGGCCATCGTCTGAAACGCAGTATGGGACGAATGTCCGCTTATAGGGTCTTTCATACGCTTGTGAATGCTTTTGAATGATACACAGCCGATCAGCTAATAAAAAAAGGCGATCGATACCTGTCTTGTAGTGATATCTTCAAACCTCCATCTCCCAAGAT